GTACACAACACTTAACAATTATGCTTGTTATATAGTATTTTAATATTATTACAATTCCTCAAATTTCAAAATGTAATCGGTCGTTTTCCGGCGAACGTTCTACTAGGATGTAGTAAAGTAAAGGCATATGATGGATGTATGGATGTATGGATGGAGCATTTTCTATGTCACGTATAGGAAACATACTTGTTATATCCGTCGCTGGTTAGCCAATCACTGCCAAAAGTACGTTAATGTGTAACCGCCACCACACATACCCACGCGGATCATATATGTGCAAAGTTGTTACACACGTAACCTGGTATAATAAATATCTCATGGTTGGAGTGCAATATAATACTCGGTGCCAGGAATAGAACTGGCCGTTTATCTCCTCAAGTTTTGCACACAACACGGACTTTTGCGCACGACACCATGGACTCATATCCGAAAAACTAGCGATGATGTCTCAATCGCGAGAAACTTTTCAATAAATTCTTCGCGTGCATTCAATAATTGTCACTCGAATCAAATTCGTTTTGAATTCTGTACGTCTCTCTCTCTGTGGAATCGATTCACAGGTACTTGAAATTTGAAAGTTTTTAACGGATTATTGAATCATGTAATACATTGCAACCACTCTTCATTCATTCGCACATGTGCAGTTTGATACAAGTCATTTATTTATAAATATCGCAACACCAATTTAAAATTTCGTAATTAACCATTTTTTTCAATGAATTACATTATTGTCTAATTATTCCCAAACGTCCTCTTCGGTGCTTTTAAATTATGTCTCTCAAACAATAAAAGGATATAATTATTTGATTTGCCAAAATATGGCACTAACGATTTTTGTCAAAACATTTACCACCGACCGTACACATTGCATGCATCTTGCCCATGGACCTTACAATAGTATTTATAAGGTCTTTGAAATTGCCACACAAAAACACAAAAAGAGCAGTATAAGACTACAAATTAAATACAAGAAGGGACTCACTCTACAATGAATCAAAATAATAAAATATTTTTTCAATGTTTTGAATCAACTTAATATTCTTACCGCAAAGATTTAACCCTTACGATTTTTATATTTTGAAAATGAGAGCATGCAACCCCCGAGAAATATTCATATACTCTACAAACAAACTTATTGATCATTACCATTTGAAAAGTAGTTATCGCTTTTGTCGAAGGCACATTTTAGATATAGATTATGGTAGTTTCCATTATCTAAATCCCAATTCACTCGACGCTTGTTTACTTGCTGGATTGCTCCCTAGTAGCTGGCCACAAAGCTTTGTCTCTATATCCCTATACGGTTTGCACATAAAATTATGCCTTTGCTGTATAAATAATTTTAATTGATGTGTAATTTAATTTAATTCAAATTTTATTTGCAATATTTGATTTATTTTTTCATGCTAGAACTAGAATATATAATATATTTTATATATATACATATATATTAGGGTGGTCCCTAATGTTGATGTTTTGGAATTTCCTTGCTCCCAGGAGCTCAAATGCTTCCAAATTGATAAAAAAATCTCTGAAAGTTGTAGCTCTTATTATCAACTTTAAGATAGTTCGCACTCCAACCAAAGGTTCTTCTTCCTAAGTAAATACTTATTTTATGAAATATATTAAATTTTTATTGTATTTATTTTATTTATGATCAAAATAAGCAAATACAATATTATTCTCAAAATTTTGATTCACTTGTCGCTAAGTTCGGAATTTTATCCATGTTATTCCCATAGAAACTTTGGATGGAGTGCAGACCACTCTAATATATATATACATGAAATTTATTATATATCATAAGTATATATTATACAATTATACATCAAACTTAGAGATAAACTTTTGATTGAGCTTGATATGATTCATAATTTTGTTTTTAACATATATTGTTTATAGTGAATTTGCTTACTTTGATTATCATTATCCCCATTAACAATCAATGCATTGGTTTCAAAATATAAAAATTTAGTCAATGGTTTTTGACTGGATATGGACAGATTAAGAACGGCGTTTTTATGCATTTTAAATCATTTCTTCTTAAACAATAATATTTATGCACTACTGCATTTGATTAAAATTTAAATAATTTAATATCTTATTCGTAGAATTGAAAATTAATTCTTAACTACAAAGCTTCAATAAATTATGACCGTGATAATAATTGCTTTTGCAGTCAAATCTGAAGTGCGTACTTTTAAATATTGTTTCTTACAATGAAAATTTAATTAAATTTTGTGATTAGTGATTCTAAATTGATATTATTCTTTGGAATTATAGATCTATTGGTTGAATTACAGAAATGACGTGATAGCGGCGTCGATATTTTAACGAATGACGCAAAACCTATTCTAATTGATGCCAAAATAAGTTAGATTAGAAATATTTGAACAGTTATTTACGAATCGACTTTAGTTACATTCCTAAGTTTTCCTTCAATTTGATCCATCAATTGTTTTCAAAATTAGATCTCTTGTAGATCTCTGTTGTCAATCGTATTAATTAGAAATTATTAATTAAATTTCTATGCATAACTGATAGACAAGCCATTATCCGTCATATATATATAGTAAAGTTAGTATTTTTTTATGTCTGAAAAAAAAACTTGTAAAATCGAAAAAAAGAATTTTATGAGTGTGTCGACTATATCAAGTTGAAATAAATGAGAAGTTTCACTACATGTGTATAAAAAATTATTCACTGCATTTATTTACTCATTCTAATGAAATATTTACCGATTATTCTAGAGTATTAATTATTATTACCTATATAGAATATACGATATTACTATGTGATATATGACAGCTAATACTTTTTGAAATAATAAATAAATGCGTATATTCAATGCAGAGGTAGGTGGGTATGGTGGGCATATGGGCGTAAATAATTAAAAATCTTGTCACATCATCCAATGATGCATCTTAAATGCAGAAAAAACTTGATTTTTTACAAGTTATAATACGAGTTGCTGTTATCTACTATTTATATCATGTAAAATAAAAGCTGCTATGATGAGATTAATACCACAATCGCGTGAAGCTTTCATTTGAGTTTATTCGCGGAATCCGAAAAGACATTTAATACTAAAATCTAACTTGCACGGAACTTTTTTTATCCTTATTTTCTGGTTATATCTTTATATTGTAAATAGTTATTTGAATGCTGTAGAGAGAGGTGTAAAATATCTTTTCTAGATTTTCAGCAATTATATTGTGAATATCTATCTATCTATCTATCTATCTGACTATGTTCAGTAAACTCCCAGCTATTTCATAATTGTAGAAATATGTTTCTTTTTATTCAAATTCAAATAATTCAAAATTTTTCCCCCATAGGTAGGCGGGGTAAAATGGAACAGTCAGGTGGCAAAAAAATAAATGTTTTATGTTTAATTTTGAAGGGATTTTACAATATTCAAAATATAAAACAAATATAAATTTCATAGGCAGTTTTTTTACAAAGATAACACTTTATACAACCTTTGGTATTTTGTCAGAAATATTTATCAGCAAAGTTGGAATAACTATTTATTTAATTTTACTCTTGCAAAATTGCTTTTTTTAAACCGAATTTACATTTTTATTTACAATTTTTTATTGTTTACGCCTTTACCTAGGTAAAGGTTCATCCCATCCACGTGTTAGCTATTCAAAACATCTGTTGAATCTAACCTAAAATTGATACTACATCGTATAAAATAATTAAATAATGTACACTTAAAAATTATATCAAGGCTTCGTAAACTAAGCAACAAGGCAAACTAATAAAAAAACTGACAAGGGAAGAAAATAATTTTGTTACATATTTTCAAACATAACCGTTTATTTCCTGACAACGATGTTGCTTGATTCAAGGCGATTGCTGATCACATATCTTTTTTCCTATATTATCAAATATTGTTGTTAATTTTTTTCTAATTGTTTTTGATATATTGTTGGTGGACCTTTTCACCCGCAGACTTTTAAGACTGCTCTGCCCTATATATAAAATTATACTCTTTACTACTCTTATTTTTTCTCTAGTATAATATTGCAGTTAAATGCTTGGCACTTTAGAAGGAAACCCGGAAGCATTTTCTTTCATTCAAAAACAAAATATACATTAACAAATATCTGCATATATTCTTGATAGATGCGATTTGATCAAACTCATTTAACATGTATAGAATTTAACTCACAAATAGTAACCTTCTATAAATAATGCTTATGTCATTTCTTGCTCTTGGAAGATATATTGAATAAGAGAATAGTTTTCTATAATACGCATTATAGATTTTGTTACAAAATACAAGTTATTAAATCTTAATTATAATTTTTGACACTATATCAACGGAACACTTTACATATTTCTTAACAATAACGTATGAATGAAGAAGTCATAAAATATTTTTGTAAGTTTTTGTGAAGTTATTTCTAGAATAATTAGATCTTGTGGCTACATGATTGAATGCGAAACCTATTTCTAATTTTTAATAGAATCTTTGCTGATTTTAAAAATTGGTTATATATAGTTATTAACATCAGTTTTATTTTTAATAATAAAAATAATAAAATAATAAATATATTTTTAAAAGCTTTGTGTGCTAAACTAACATACGCTCATGAATTAACTAAAAATCCGATTAACTAAAAATCTAATTTAATAAAGATATTGTTAGTTTGAGTTGAATTTCATGAAGTTATGAATTGACTAAATTACCATCTAGCAGCTGTGAAGATATTATCAAAATACTACAACATACCGAAGCTTTCAAATCAAGATTTGGTTTGATTGTATATGATATTATAATATAATTTACATGATTTGAGACATACTATACCTTATGGACAATTAGTTTCCAATCACTTCAATTTATTGTGTAAACAAAATTTTGATTATGGCTGCATTCGGCGTATTGCACTTTTTGATGTTTTTTTTATTATTATTTGATTTCCTTGAACTGTACCGTATTTTGTATGTTTTCGATACTTGTTCCCTAATTAGCGTCGTTTTTTCAGTTGATTTTTAGTGGCGAGTACACCAAGGCCATGAACAAGGACTGGCACTCTGGTCACTTCTGCTGCTGGCAATGCGACGAGTCACTGACCGGCCAACGCTACGTACTCCGCGACGAACATCCTTACTGCATCAAGTGCTACGAGAGCGTCTTTTCCAACACCTGCGAGGAATGCAGCAAGATCATTGGCATTGATTCCAAGGTTTGTCTAATTACTTTTCGACTTAACGCTATTAAGTTCCTGAACGAGAAGTTTGTTTTCATAAAAAAGTCCGATTCGCTAATTTTATGTTTTCTCGACGTTTCAAGCCATTCTGAATCGAATGAGACCAAATTTGGAAAAAGTATATGTATGTGTATGTGAACAGATTTTTTGCCATAAATCGACGTTTTCTTAGAAACGGCTAGACCTATTTCAAAAACTAGCGTTTATCAATTTTGCGCGACGATCAGCCATGCCGTTTCTTTGTAAATACTAGAAAATAATAGAAAAGTGAAAAAAATTTCGTCCGCGTTTTAGCCCGCAATTCTGAATCGATTTTGAAAATTCAAAAATCGTTCGAAAGATATTGGTTAGGAAAGATACTGATTAGTTTTTGGTAAAGATCGGCCGGGCCCTTTTCTTGTAATAAAGTGTTGAACTTTTTTTTTCAACGATTCTCATGATTTTTTTTGATCGTAGATACCATAGTCTTGTAGATCATACTAAAATATTACAGCCCTACGACAAGCCGTTTAATTTTAAAAAATCGTCAAAGTTTGCAAAAATTGGTATCATTTATTTGACGTTTGTCAAAATTAGAACTTTCATCGACATTTTCTCAAAAACGGCTGAACCGATTTCAAAAATTTAAAAGCCAATCTATGTATGTTGATGTGAATTATCTTTTCTCAGTTTTTTGCGATGATCTGCCGAGCCGTTTCTTTGTAATTTGGAAAAAAGTGTTAAACTTTTCGTCCACATTGAAGCTTATACTACCGAAGCGATTTTGAAAAATCAAAAACTGTTCGAAAGATATTAGTTGGGAATGATACTGATTAGTTTTAATCGTTTCTTGCAATTACCTGTTGAAAAAAAAATTTAAGCTGATTTTTATGGAACTTTTATTGGCGATATATATCATGGTCTTATAGAACTTACTGAAATATTATGGCCTTACGACAAGTAGTTTAATTTTAAAAAATCATCAAAGTTTGAGAAAATAAGTAGTTTTTTTGACATTTGTTAAAATTAAAATTAGACGATTTACTTGGTATAAAGATAGAGTACTTGGTCTTAACGAACATACTAAACTATTGAAGTCCTACGGAAACCGGTTCAATTATAAAAATTGTTGATTTTTGATAATTTGCTTTTGGAAAATACTCCGAGTTAACGTGTTCGTTCGTTTTCAATTATGTGAAATGTATCCACACGGAATACTTTTAATCACTCATAAATTAATTTATTTTTTTATTGATTAAGTCGATTATTTACACATATCGGGAATTTCATGTTAAGGCAAAATGCCAATACCAACTAGTTCAACTATGAGTCATTTTCAATAGAAATGGAGCATTGCAACCAGAAATAATTAAAAGTTTTAACTTCTTCCATATATATGTTTTTATTCATAGAGAATTAATCATTTCATTGCAGGACTTATCTTACAAAGAAAAGCATTGGCATGAGGCATGTTTCTTGTGCAGTAAATGCCGCGTATCTCTCGTCGATAAACAGTTCGGAAGTAAATTGGACAAAATCTACTGTGGAAACTGCTATGATGCCCAATTCGCTTCCAGGTGTGATGGTTGCGGCGAAATCTTCCGTGCGGGTAAGTTCTTTCACGCAATATTATTACAAATATCATTTCATTGTTTGTGTATGTACATCGAGCTTTTCTATAAATTAATTCATAGTTTGGCAATAATTTATGCTTTAAATCTATGCTATATTGATCATTAAAATTTATGATAGATATGATAGATTTTGATAATAGTCACATTCATTTGTCTATCGCGTTTTTCGACATTTTTACGATCATTCAAAGTTTGCTACGTTATAGTTACCAGCTATTTTTAGTTTAAAATAGATAGCTTTTAAGTAACTCAGTGAACAAAGTACTTTCTTCTTTAATGACCAAAAATAATAATAACGATGTGATGATCAGATCTTTATATTTCCCTGAAAATTTTGCTTTAGATTAATCATATTTGTTAGTAAAAACCAAATTTACGCAACTTAAGATGTGTTATACTTGTGCTCTATATTCACACAAAAATCTTGCGTAAATACTGTCAACTTATGTGAACAACATAGCTAAAAATATTCGACAGCCTTCTTACTATAAATATTGTTTGTCATGTATGGTTTTACTTAAGAAATCAATTTGATCAAGGGCATCGGAAATATTTCTTAATTCATTTTTGACACGCGATGTGAGTGAGGCGTATCTGCTATATATCACCCCTAAATACTATTACAATATAACAATGTTATAGAATTAGTAATTTGACATTACATCCATAATATATAAAATTCGTGCTATATAATAATATATAAGTGCTATATATAGAATATTCTCACAAGTTTGTCAAGAATTTGACAAATTACACTGCGTTGTTAAAAGAAATATCAGTTTTTGCTAAAATATATGAAACATATTCATTTCATTCTCATCATGATACTATATACTAATTAGGTTTTAAAATATTCCCTCATAATTTTGGTATATATAAAAAATGATATATATATATATATAACAATATATATATATATATATATATATATATATATATATATATATGTATATATTGTAAAGCTTCGAACAAAGAATCCAAATGTAATAAAAATAAAACAAGCTTTTTTAAAAAAAAAAACATTTCTTTATTTATTTACTGTCGAAGTTTTGGAACTAGGTACGTTCCATCTTTAGGACATTTGTCAAGAAACATGATCAGAACATAAGAAGATAACATTACAGAAATATGACATATATTGTCAAAATCCAAATGAAAGTAATAAAAATAAATGAGTGGATTATATATAGGTTGTCAAATATCTCCCTTCCGCCTTTTTGTATTATAAACCAAGAGCAAAAAAGCGGAAGGGAGATATTTGACATCCTAATATAACAAAATAGTAGAAATGTTAGAAAATTGGAAAGTTTTTTAAAAAAAAGGGTTAAGAAAAACAGAATTAATTACCTCTATATACACTAACACTTTTTCACTAAAAACGATTTTATCAAAAAATGTAATTTTATAAATTTGTTTTCAGACGAAAACAGAAGAATTCAAATTTTTAAGTTATGTTTTTTTTTGAGTACATTATGTGAGACAATAAGTATTATTTCCTCGATGTTATGGGATTGGGACTATTCCGTAACAAACTGATTATTGAACGGATAAAATTCATCCGTCGACAGTAAATAAAGAAATGTTTTTATTTTTAATTTTTTTTGTTTTTATTCCATGTGGATTCTTTGTTCGAAGCTCTACAAAATATTTACAAATCCAAGACTCTACCATTTAACACACACACGCATATATTGATATATATATATATATATATATACATTATTTGCCAAAAAAAATTATTTTCAATTATTAGTGAACAAGTTTAAATAGGATCTCTAGTGATTTTCTTTATTTCAAGTTCAGTATATCAATTAAGAAAAACATCTAGACGCAGTTACGTAGTCAGAGGTTCTAATTGGAAAGTTAAATGGTTGTGGGCAGCATCGGCATATATATATATATATATATATATATATATATACAGAAGGGGGGTAAAATTGGCGTAAAATTTTGCGATTGCAACTTTATGAGAACTTGATTAACGCGGTTGAACTTTTTGAATGGGGTTTCCCCTTTTTCGTCAGCCATTTAGCTGAAAGATGAGATGTTTATTTCTCGAAACGCGTACTAAATAAATAATTGTTATCGTTTATTATTTATATATGAGGCTATTTAATTTAATTTTTATAAATATAAGAGAAAAATTAATAGAACAGCAACACTTTACTACAAAAAAATAATAAAATATAGCAGATTGGTATAGAAACTAGCTAATACCTCTACTATCTTCTATTATCTTTTTGTTGTTAAGTGTGGCTGTTCTGTTAATTTTTCTCTTGTATTTATAATTTTTATACCAATCCACAAATCTTATAATTACCTGATTATATCAATTTTTTCACTATTTTTAGATTTTTTTCATTGATGTATCGCCATCAAAAATAACTACTAAATCATATATATATACATATATATATATATATATATATATATATATATATCACTCATCTTTTATAACCTGGGTGATTTTTTGTTAGTTCTTGCTCCGTTTTCACCATCTTGCGTAAATAATGTTAAATTTGTATACCTAATAAACGCATAATTGGCTGCTGAATTATCAAATTTGTAAATAATTTGTTGTAAATATTGATGTATTATTTATATTGAATCGTAATTATATTCGTTAATGAATCATCACTATGAATTCATAAGCATTACGTATTGGAGAGCATGAGATCATAATAGATGGAGAGCTGACGTAGAACCTATCCTTGCATTACGTAGTAAAAGTGCGTATTGTTTTTTGGCACTGAAATGAAAATACTAAAATCAGGACTTATCGTAGGATTTTAAATGTTTGTAGAGCCGATCAGCAATCGTTAGTGCCTTTTAATATCTCTTGATCATTTTTTTGAAAATTAGAAAAATCTTTTTGTAAATAATTTCATTAAGATGACTGTTTTACATCTAATTAGTGTGAAAAACTGGCAATAATTTATTTATAATTTTCTCTATAATTTTACCAGAAATATACTATCAAATAAATTGTTACATCAGCTATCGAAACTCGTTGTTGAAAATTTACTGCGGTGTTTCACTTTTGATTGAAGTTTATATTATAATAAGCAAAAACTTACTCGTATTGGTAAATAGGCTAAATCAAATGTTTGAGTATTGCATATTGCTTATTATTATTGTTGAGAACATTTTACCAATAGTAACTATAGTAAATATATTTGAAGCTTATAAATATATCGACCATAAATCTAGACTAGAAACAACATTTAAAATTTTGAAAAAAAATTATTTGATTTTATAAATACAATTTTGCAATTTGATACACCAAATTATATCATATTATGTGTTAATAATAAAATTATTCTTAATTCATATATAAAAAATATGCTTTATTTTACGACCTTTGTAGGTTACTTTTCAATAAATATTTGTAATGACTGAAGTATCTATTATATAAACTAATGGAGCATGGCATCGTGTCTTAAGACAAATTTCTAGAACTTCCCGTACCAAAAATCATTTTTTTAAACAGCTTTAAATTTTTTTGAAAACTGAAAAAATAGATTTTTGAGAATTTTGAAAATTTTTAAAAAGAATTGATTAATAATTAAACTCTGTAGCAGTTTTAGAAACGAAATATCGAAGCGCGTAAGGTCCGTGTCGCAATATAAACGATAAACATTGGTACGGAACCCATAAAAATATAAACAAAATTTGTTCTTATTATTAAATACTCTATAAAATGTGTGATAATTTGATGTGCATATGTCTAATGATCATTTTAAGCGGTTTTATTTACTTTTTTATTGGATTTTCAAAACCGTTGGACCTGCCTTCCCAAAAATTTTATTAGTATTTCATTTCGTCAAAACAAATAAAATGTTTTTTGAATCATTTAAATCGGACGCTTCGTTATTTCAAAAACTGAATTACCATTTTTGGCACTTTTTCCCGCTATCTTCGAAACAGCTGGACTTGTCTTTGCACTAAACTAAAAAGTACGTCGCCCCATCAATGCGAATCAAGTGTTTTTTGAATTATTTAAATCGGTTGATCCATGTGCACGAAATCGTAGACGAAAATTTGTATTTGCACACACACACATACATCCATTTTTTCTAAGGTATGCCAAAATGTTGTGGAATCTTTGAAACGTAAAGATATGCAAGAGGTACGTACGTAAAGATTTTTTTTTTGGGGAATACTATATTTTACCCTACGGGAAGTTAACTTAAATATCAAAATAGACAATTTTGTAGATTGTGAGATCTGTTGTTTGTAATAATAAATTTAAAACAGATGATAGTAAAATTGTTGAAGTTCTTACGCTATCAATGTATGCAATGCAAAGTGTGCTGCTGTAGTTAACTGTGCTCGCTACTTCAGATCAGCTTTTACGTGATTGCTCCAGATTCCAAGTCAAGAAACGAATTTGAATTGATAATGGTACTGATTAATATATAGATTGTCCGTGAATAAGTTTAACACGGAGTTCACCAGCGGTTCGGCTAACAATTTGCTCAGAACAACAAAAAACTGTGAAAGGGACAACAGCAATCGTCGTGGCTGTGTTGTTCGCTTTTCGAACATGCGATTCCGCAGTTTGCTTTTGGCCGCGCGCAGAAATTGTACCAGCATCGACCTTGCCGATCCGACGTAATACAAAAAACATGTTGTGCTTTGTCAAAGGAACGAAAATTTGTTAATATATGGATCGTTTACCTTTTGAAATGATTTTATACGAAACTGTTACTGTTGAAAAGGCATGGCGATTCAATTTACGGTTGTGATACTATTGTTTATATTTTAATACTGAAGATCTGTGATATTAATTATTAAAACAAATAAGTACCTCACAACAAAATTATACCATCAATTTTGTTGTATTTAAAACAAGTGTTGTAAAAGTACATTCCCACAATTTCATATTTTTGTATTTTAACAAACAAGTTTTAATATCCAGTGTGCTCAAAATTAATCTAATATATAAACTTGATAATTACTCTTAAAAAAATAACAGTTTATAAAGTTGCATCGATAACTGATAATCATTAAATCCAATGAAAATATTAAACGGATAAGGAATGCTCTATTAAAGCTGACTGTTTGTAATTGGTTTTGAGAATTTTATTTTAACCAAACTATCGTAATTTTATATTATAACAATTAGTTACGTTCGACTCCAATTATCATTAAACCGATTCTATTACCAAAAGTACTTTTGTCTTGAACACAATGTCCTCTGCTGAAACTTTGAGTAAAGATTTCAAATCGCGACTTCGTTTAACAACAAAAACCGTAGGCGAAGACCGCATAAAGAAAGCCAAAGAAGATAACAAGGATATTGCTATACTGTCCACCTTCCTTCCGCCATCAATGGCTGAAGAGAAGGATAAGATTTTTAGTTGTGCTTTGGAAACTGATTGTCTGCTAGGTGATCCTACCAGCATGGAACCAGGTATTTTGATTCTGAATATAATTCAGTTTTAAACTACGCTTATTTCTGAGTTGATTCTTCTTAGAAGGCAATACAATGATTGTCTTTACTAATCGAGATTTATATTATATATATTTCTAAAATACAGTCCCAATTTTGATATTGTTACAATGCCCCGAAAGGCTATTTTAATTTGAAAATATATTCAGATCTATATTTTCAAGTGAAAACTGATATCACTGCTGCAAGATTCTCAAACGCAGGCTTGAACCGCAACTCCTGGTTCGAAGTCAAGCGCTACGAACGCCCAAAATAGTCATTCTGAAAATTTATTCATCGATTATGCACGTATCTAGTATTCAAAAAATACTACTAAATTCAGTGTTGTATTGCATTGTTGGAGTTGTAATTTATTGTTACAACAGATATTTACATCATGAAAATCCATGTTACAACAACTCTTCGCATATTTTTTTTTGGAAATGGTGAAGACGGTCTTTCCATACTTAATATCACACATTATTTAAATAGCTGAATTAGTCAAGTTTCATTATTAGCTCATAATATTTTAGTTATATGATCATTGCCATGTCTACCCTTAGAACAACATTTATAATTTATCAGTTTCGGTTTAAAACAATAATGATCAATGTACATTTCTCTGTGTTATTATTAATATTCATTATAAAGTAATATTAAGTTTTTCTGGTCTTTCGGTTAACTGCATTGATATAGTCATTTTATTTATTTGATAAATTTATTACAAATTTTAATTCACTGTAGTTTTAAAATATGATAATTTGGCGTTCGTTTGCAAATCAAATATTTTAGTGGGTTTGTTATTATTTCTAAACATATTCGACAAAATTTTGTAATGCAAATAACAAGTTTTTAGATTTCTTGACAAATACTACTTTTTTTCTAATTAGATACACATTATCCTTATTTATTATTTTTCGTTGATTGATCAGTACTGTTTTTATTTTTATACTTGCAGTTGTTGATGTAGAGATTTTTACGATGTCTCTCTGTTTTGATAGGATTTTCCTGACATAGCTTATGAGTGTATTATGACTTCCATGACTTTTTTGAAAATGATATTGCAAATAACAATAATTCCAATAAAAATCTTTTTACTTTCTGAAGGTTCAATTTCTGTTAAACTAATAAAAATAAAGTTCTAGATTTGGAGCCAAAATTAATTAAAATATTAATAGCAATAAGACCTAAATGTTTAAATGATATTTATTAAATGATTTTTATATAAGGTAAACTGTACCATATAATGCATTTTGTCTAAAACAAAATTTATTCAATATACATAACCGTATATGAGAAAAGCGAGAAGATATTTAGAAAAGTTAGTAATATAGATTTTTATTATTATGGTTTTTATTTTTGTACTACATAGTACGTATTCAGATTTATCTTATTTATCTCTAATGTAAAATTATAGGTATTTTTCTCAAACAACTTGTAGAACTTTTTATCTGATTGTTTATTAAATAACAAACTAATATCGGTAATGTGTGAAATATTCACATGGCTCACTTGGATGAACTTATAATGATAATAATTAAGCCCCTTGCGTTGCTTGTAGATCTATCAATTTGTTGGAATGATTGAATTTGATTTTCAATAATTATATTAATGATTATCAACACGAAATGGTGCTTTTAATTTATTTATTGCATATTCCAAACGTTTTTATTTTTTTTCATATTCATATTCAAATCCAATAAGAAACTTTTGTAAATTGAGGAATGCGTTTCATTACATAAAATACAACCAGATGGAATATTTGAAACTTTTTATTAATGATACATATGATTCACCACTCTCACGTAAGCAAATTGACTGTTATAATACGTCCTTGAATGATGTCTCTGAATTGTTTGTAGACTCTCTTGGCGGTTCCAGTTTCATAACAAATTTATGATTTGTCTATTTGTTTTGACAGTTGATTTTAAATTTATTGCTATCATTTTGCTTAGGATTATCTTGACTATATTATATATTACTCTTTGATGTTAATAATTTTTGAATCACTTAGTACATAGTATTGAGAAAGTGTGCCACCTTGCACTTGACCCATAAACTGAACGGTTATTTTGTGACATTAGGATACACTGGTCTAGCGGGTTTGATTATGTATATTTATTAAATATACTAACCAAACCCAAGGCCAAGGGGGTCCCGTGAGGTCCCACGTCTCCCACGACTCTCAATCTCGTCAATTTTATAATTAACTGGGGCAATTTAAAAATGCACTATATATATACAACCTCAAACTCCTAAATATAAATACAATTCTAGATATCGATGGCAAAATAAACAAAAAAGCACTCCTTAAAGAAATGCTTGATGCATTTTGGAGATTACAAAGAGCAATTGTTTATAAGTAATAAAGATGTGAAAGTCGAGTTATCCTAAGTAAGGTTGGGAAATTTATATTTAATATTTTCAAATTTAAATTCACAAATTTTACTAAATATATTTGTTCAAAAAATTGTTGGATTAACACACATGTCATTGCAAGTAAATCATTAAATATAGTTTGATATAAAAAAATGGACCATTCGAAAAACCCAATTGATTTATTCAGGTTAGGAACTGGGTTAATATTATACTTTCATAACGGTTAATACTCTTTGCCATAAACATATTTTCATTATAACAAACTTTTCCCCAGGTACTAAAAAAATGGAGTACAAAACTCGTCAATGGCATGAAAAGTGTTTCTGCTGCTGTGTGTGCAAGACTGCTATCGGAACCAAAAGCTTTATTCCTCGTGAGCAGGAAATCTATTGCGCAGGCTGCTATGAGGAGAAGTTCGCCACCAGATGCATTAAATGCAATAAGGTAGACATAAAAAAATACTATTATTCTTCACATATCATTACTATCATATCACTATTATTCATCACATAGTAAATCATTATCGCATGCAACATTTTTTCGAAAGTTTTACTTGAAAGCTTGACATTTTTGCTCAGAATCTTATAAGATTTCAAACGGAATCTTATAAGTATTTCAAGAATTTATATGTAATGCTTCGGAACACCAAACACCAAAGGAATGTATACAAATTATCAAAAGCTTTAGGAAAAATCTTACAACTGGACAATGCACATGTTAAGAACTTCCTTCATAACTTGAAACGGCTGTAATTAAAAATACGGATCAAATGTTTTTGAAGTTAAATACGCCTAAATAATCAGTATGTGTCTTTGAAATCATTCTTGTACTTTCACGATATTAATAACTTTTCTTGGTGGAAGTTAAATTATCGTAATAAGATCTATGTTATATGTTATGGTCGCTAATGTATGTCTGCAGTTAAAGTTTAACCCATTCGAGACGGCGATTTTTTTCGAACGCGGTCTCTAGGAGCGAATTTTTTTTTGTTTATATTGTTCATTTTTAATAAAAAAAAGAAGTTGTTTACTACGGAAATCAACCAAGCAAATTTGCATAAATAAGATGATTGCACACCGTGTGTGCAACTCGCTCCTCACAAAATTTTTATTGCGAAGAGCGGATTGAATACCATGTGTGCAATGTAAGATAAAATAAAAAGACATAATTAAAATTGATAAACATTTATTTTAAAAATAATTAGATAATATAAAATCGTTATGTCGCTTTCAATAATGAAGAACAGAATATAATGCAAAGAAATTTTTTTAAGAAATAGTAATAAGTCAAAAAAATAAGTTGAATAGTGAAGAAAATAATATAAACAAGAAAAAAATATTTAGAAAAATGTTCAAAGGGAATAATGTAATGTAACTCAGTAATGAAAAAAATACAATTTGTAAATACATTTTTAGGAAAAAGCACAGTGATCTTACATTGTTATTTTCTAAAAACGTAGATTTCAAAATTCCAACCAAAATGTTTTGTTTTGTTTTGGTACGCATTGAAACCAATGCCAAATTTTGTTTTTCTATACTTTACAGATACTATTAATTCAAAAAAAAAATATTTTGACGACTATTGTACTCAGAATAACTGATAATTGCTCCTTAATATTATTGCACACACGGTGTGCAACCGGTCTTATAGTAAGTAAGCCTCGTAAAGTAAATCGGTCTCGAATGGGTTCATGTTGTTTTTAAATTTGTTCGTCGTAAGATTATGATTAATTTGTTTGTTAATATGGCAGATTATCACTTCTGGCGGTGTAACTTACAAGAACGAACCATGGCATCGTGAGTGCTTCACTTGCACCAACTGTTCAGCCTCTTTGGCTGGTCAGCGATTCACCAGCAGGGATGAAAAGCCGTACTGTGCTGAATGTTTCGGTGAATTGTTTGCTAAGAGATGCACGGCTTGCACCAAACCCATTACAGGTACATAGTTGACACTAAACTTTTTTTTCACATCTCAATTGACTAACTCCATTTCGGAGACGATGTGATTTTAATTAAATAGCCGAATAAGTTAGAATCTTGACAACAGAATGAATTGAATTCTATTATGTGTATATGATATTAACTAGTATTTGATCATTGTCAGGAATTGGTGGCACTCGCTTCATCTCGTTTGAAGATCGCCATTGGCACAATGACTGCTTCACCTGCGCGTCATGCAAAGCTTCTCTAGTCGGCCGTGGCTTCATCACAGACGGCGCCGACATTATATGCCCGGACTGCGCCAAAAACAGGGCTTAAACGCGAATTAATTCATTACGAATGATATTTATTCTACAAAATAGAACGCACATCTCAAGGCAACATTCGTAGTAATACAACGATCAAAATTCAAATATAGAAAAAAACTATTTTTTTACTTGGAATTTTCAAATTTGACGTAACATTTTATTTTTAAATAGGAATGCTCTAAAAAAATGCTTAACACATATATTTGACTAATATAGAAAATCGATATATATTATATATAGTACTATACATATACTAAATTACAATTGTTTTTATTAAAAAATTGCTGTTTATTTTTGTTTTAAATAAATTAATATAAAACTGTTTAGTTGTTGATGATTTTCATATTAGATTTTATATAGCTTTTATTTCAAATTAATGTATTTTATAAATAGTATGCGCTTTATGTATTTGTGTATGCATAACTATTCTTTTCCTAGGATAATTTATGTTAATAATGTAAATAAAGGTATGCAATTATATGGGCGGATGTATGGAGTGTCACAAAAATTATATATAATAATTCACACGAACATGCCTTGTTTAATAATCATACATAGGCTGTTTTATACAGTTATTGTTATTACTATACCTATCTTTGCACTTGCATATAAATATATTCACAATTAGAATAAGTTAACAAAAATTGTTGATAAATGATATTAATGTCATGATATATTTATATATATATATATATATATATATATATATTTATATATATATATATAAATATATAATTTTGATAGATCTGATATGTTAATATGGTCATCTATTGAGAGAAATAATTGTAAAATTATCAAATATTTGATTTTATAACACTAGTAAGCTCGGAACACCTTAATGCCTTAACCTAGTTATGAATAGTAAAATTGAGTTATGCAACTACCAATTTTTCATTTCGTTACAACATGACTACATTTAACAAATTACTTAGTAAATAATTTAATTTTTAATTAAAAAAAAATGTATTTGCTTTCAAATTACATACATTTAACGACATGAATCGTGTTAAAGTAAAATAGAACAAAGATGATAATATAGTATTATATAGAAAATCAATATTGAAATGTTGAATTGAAAATATATTGAAATTGGTTTATTGATATTTGATCTTAAAATTTTGATTGTGCAATTTAGTGAATATTATTTTGATCAATGTGTATAGGTACTTATTCTTGTCAAAACTGTATTTATATACAAATAAACACGATAATAAAAAAAAAACTCAATCTAAATACTGTATTTTCATTAGTTTCAAATACATTCATTTGTATAATTAATATCATTACATAATTATTATTTGTTGTATGTACATAATGCGTATATAAATAGCCTTATGTATAAATATATATATATATATATATATATATATATATTTATACAGCATACAAATAAAAGTTTCAGTTTAAATATTTAAATTTAATATAATTAAATTAAAATTAAAATTTAATATATATTAAATACATTTGAATACAAAGTTATAATCTGATGTTATCATGCAATATAACATAATAAAAAGCTCACTCTGCTTCTTTTTATTTTAAATTCAATAACGAGCAGTAATATTATTATAATTCAGTTACTAACTGGTTAAAACATAACGTTTAACTATTTAGGAGGCAATGAGGCATTCATTTTTGAATTTTGTCACCAGTTAGTACGGTTAATGAACAGAACTTTTGTGCATAGATAAATAAGCATATATTATTTTATTATCTAGGAATAAGCATTAAGCATTTGTGTTTATCTATATCTATGAACTGAACCAAACAGGTCCAGGAGAAAATCTTACCCTTTTCTTATCTAAGATCTTACCTTTAGTATGCGTATGGTGGCTGCATGTATTTGTTTGCAACATGTTGGGTGCGCTGATTGGCGAATGACAGTTATGTGGTCGTGGGGTCGTGGGATATGTGAGGTTATGCATCAAGACTATGTTTTTCTATGATTCGTAAATAAATTTGATCTCATTGTTAAAATGGGAGATATCGGACGTGAAAACACGATATATAGTAAAAAGACAGGTTCTAAGCAAATGAGTGAACCTGTCAAGGCCGTTGAGGTAAACAAGTTATAGAATGTTTCAAAGACTCCTTCACTGATTGCATCCTACACGTGCGTTGCAAAATAAATGATTACTAAAAATGAGGGAAAATAAAAGTGTCATTCATATTGACTAATTAAATCTTAATGGTACTAAGTTTTAGTATCAATGTAACAGATTGGGGATAAGGGGTATTCATATTTTTTTTTAAACCAATTTGACATCTACATTCTTAAGATTAACACGCAATTGCATATGATCAAGTTTTCATTTTTTATTGCAGTTTTGAATTCGTTTAAATGTACTAACATTTCTAATTCTATGTAAAATGTAATAATATGCTAGTTAACATAACTTAGTAGTTTTTCGACATTAACTTTATTAGTAATTAATAGTTGATTTACATATTAGTGCTATTTTAATTAATTTACTTATTTTATATAAGAATTTTGATATCAAAACGAGCGCCTATAGGTACAATGTTATTAAGAGCCACCAAGTCAAATGTCGAGCAAGCTACTGTTTGGTTTGATGTAATAACATTTCTTCTATCTCTTGTGTGCATACTACACATGTATTTGTATATATTGAGAATATAAGCGATGTTGAAATTAAAATACTTTTTTGTCTATTTGAAATGTACTTAGAAGATGTACAGCTTGTTAAAAATGTAATGATATTATTGCAGGAAAAATGGAAGTTAGTTCCAGCATTTCTCAAGGTAAAAGGCCTTGTAAAGCAACACATTGATTCTTTCAATTATTTCATAAACATTGAAATAAAGAAGATTGTACAAGCTAATGACAAAGTTCTAAGTGATGCTGACCCTTTATTTTATTTAAAATATTTAAATGTATATGTTGGAACACCTGATGTAGAGGAAGGATTTAATATTACCAAGGGAACAACTCCTCATGAGTGTCGTTTACGTGATATGAATTATGCTGCTCCAATTACAGTTGATGTAGAGTATACGAGAGGGAGTCAGAGAGTGATTAGGAATAATTTACTAATAGGAAGGTATAGCTAGTGTTATGAAAGTTTGATCAAAGATCAAAAAACATAATTTATATTTCGTTTGCAATCATATGTTATGATTCTAATAATACAATGTTATTTATAATTTAAGGATGCCCATTATGTTGAGGTCATCTAATTGTGTGTTAACAAATAAATCTCAATTTGAATTAGCCGAAATGAATGAATGCCCACATGATCCGGGTGGCTATTTTGTTGTTAAAGGTAACTAATAATATTCTCATGGTTTGTATAGTGTTTTTATTTGTTACTCTTTTTTTAGGACAAGAAAAAGTAATTCTCATACAAGAACAACTATCTCGAAATCGAATGATTGTAGAAGAATTTAAGGGTTATATTCAATGTCAAGTAACAAGTTCTACACATGAGAAAAAGTCTCGCACAAACATGATAGCAAAACGTGGAAAATACTATTTGAGACATAACGCATTAACGGATGTAAATTCATATATTAGTAAATATATAAATCAATAAATATTTGCTTAAAATATATTGATGTTTAGGATATACCAGTGGCTATCATGTTCAAAGCAATGGGTGTAACGAGTGACCAGGAAATTGTGCAACTTGTTGGAGCTGATGACGAATCTGTGAGAAGGTAATCTTTATTAAATAATAGAAAATAATTAGGAGGTGATAATTGTATTGCATTAAATAATGCAATTGCAACTATATTGAATGAACTTTGAGTTAAATAATTTCGTGATTTCAAGACATAGCAAATATATTAATAAACATTTTTCTTTAAGATTTACTCCTTCCCTAATAGAAAGTTCTAATCATTCAGTTTACACACAACAAAGAGCCTTAGAATATATTGGTTCCAAATTGAAAGTGAAACGGTATGTTTATTACATCTAATTTATTTTATTTTATATTAAACCAATTAAGTTTATTAATTGTAAATTATATTTTTATTCTTTATAGATTTACTATTGCGAACAGTAAAAACAAAACACCAGCTGATGAGGCACGTGAATTATTAGCAACAACTGTTCTAGCTCATGTTCCTGTTGAGGATTTTAATTTCAAAACTAAGTCAATATATGCAGCTTTAATGGTAAAATTTTGCATTAATTGATGTTAATATATTTTGCTTGTTGTAGATTAAAAATGCAAAATAAGATTTAGCTTAAATGCCCTTTCAAATATGTTTTTTTTTTTTCATATCTTACTTTGTATTACAGTACAATTTAATTCTTCTTTAAGCTAAAATATATCTACTAATATTATTTGCATTAAAATTATATTTTTATGAATGTCATTGAATGGGGTATTATTTATTTTAGATTCGCCGTATTATTGAAGCGCAAGTTAATAAAGCAGCAGTTGATGATCGTGATTATTATGGAAACAAGAGATTGGAGTTAGCGGGTTCTCTATTATCACTAATGTTTGAAGATCTATTCAAGAGATTTAATTGGGAATTAAAAATGATTGCTGATAAAAACATACCAAAAATTAAAGCAGCTCAGTTCGATGTTGTTAAGCACATGAGACAGGACTTGATAACTTCAGGTTTAGAATATGCTATTTCTAGTGTAAGTTATATTTTTTCATTTGCAATATAATTTTTTAAGTAGTTCAATTAATATCTAAGTAAATACATTAAACTATGCAAGTAATTTAATTTGAATGTTTGCATTTATTAGGGTAATTGGACAATAAAACGCTTCAAAATGGAACGTCATGGTGTGACACAAGTATTAAGTAGATTAAGCTATATTTCAGCTCTTGGTATGATGACTCGTGTTAATTCACAATTTGAAAAAACTAGAAAAGTATCTGGTCCCCGATCACTTCAACCCTCTCAATGGGGTATGCTTTGTCCCTCTGATACCCCTGAAGGCGAGGTTTGTTATGTATATTTTGTTTATTCAAAGTTACCTCATTATTTTGCAAGGATTTAAGCGAGTTAAAAGGGATAATATTATTGATTCATGTATATATTTTTTGTTAAATCTAAATAAAGTTTGAGTAACATGCAACAAAATATTGTATATAAAATTATATAAATTATCGTATTTTTTATATAAGTTGTGTAAAATTTTGTTTTTTAAGTTATAGAATGAATTTTTCTGGTTAGATTTGTTTAAAATATGATACATACAGGCATGCGGTTTAGTGAAAAATTTGGCATTGATGACTCACATAACCACTGAGGTTGAAGAAGCACCAGTAGCACGTTTAGCATATAACTCCGGAGTTGAGGATATACGTTTGCTAAGTGGTAAAGAAATTAACTGCACAAGCGTCTTCATGGTTTTTTTAAATGGTACTGCTTCAGAATAAACTATGGATAAATAAAATGAAATATTAATTTCATTTATTCTTTTAGGTAATATCTTAGGTATAGTTAGAGATTATAAGAAATTGATCAGAATATTTCGTTTAATGAGAAGAAGAGGTTTAGTCAATGGTTTTGTATCAATTTATACAGCTTATACCCAAAGATGTGTTTATATTTGCAGTGATGGTGGCAGACTTTGCAGGTATATAATTGTTTGCACTGCAATTATGTTTTATTTGAATGATTCAATTTTAGTAAAATAATTTTAATTAACGCAGGCCTTACATAATAGTTGAACGTGGTTGTCCAAAAGTTGAAAAGAAGCACATTGATGAATTGATCCAAGGGGTTCGTAGTTTTGAAGACTTTCTGCATGATGGTAATTTGATTATCTTTGAATTATTGTAAAAATGCGAACAAAGAACTATCTAAATTCATGACTTTTCTGAAGGGTTGATTGAATATTTGGACGTAAATGAAGAAAATGATAGCAATATTGCTTTTTGTGAAGCAGAAATAGTGCCAAGTATAACTACCCATTTAGAAATTGAGCCTTTCACATTATTAGGCGTTTGTGCTGGTTTAGTGCCATACCCACATCACAACCAGAGTCCCAGAAATACATATCAATGTGCTATGGGCAAGCAAGCAATGGGTGAGCTTATAAATTTTTATTTAATATATTCAATATCATATAGATGCAAAATTTTATTGATTGACTTTTCTTCACTGTCTTCATGCTTATTATTGAAATTTTATAAGTAAAATATCTTTTAAAACTTGTATTAATTATTATTTATCATTGTGAGTGAGAAGTATGAATAATTGCAAACTTCCCAAGGGAGAAGTTTGTTTTTGGTAAAATATTGCTAATTTTACGTTTTTTCTACGTTTTATGTGATTGATTGTACATGTATTTGAATCGATTTTTGATCTTTCGTTGACGTTTTCGCGAAAACGTCTGAACCGGTTCCAAAAATGTGAAAATCATTCGATGTAACTTGATTAGAATTAGTGTTGGTTAGTTATGCGCGAGTTTTTTTTAAAAACTAGCAGAAAAGTGTGAAATTTTTCGTCAGCGTTTTAGTTTTTGGTAAAGATCGGCCGGGCTATTTTTCGTAACTAGCCTTTGAAAATTTTCGTTTCGACGGTTTTTATGAAACTTTTTTGATGATAGAGATCATGGTCTTAAAGAATGTACTAAAATATTACGCGCTTACGGAAAGTCGTTTATTTTTAGAAATTCATCGAAATTTGATAAAAATAAGCAGTATTTTTTGGCCTGAAAGTAAAATTAGACCTTTCATCGACGTTCTCTCGAAAACGGCTGAACTGATTACATTCGATGAAACTTCGAATTCGTTAGATTTTTTATACAATCGGCTGAGCCTTCAGAATCAGCTGAACAGCGCAGAATTTTTTGTGCATGTTTTAGCCAAAAATCCGGAATTCATTTTGAACATTTAAAAACTATATGAAAGATCATTTGGAAAGCGCGCTGATTAGTTTTTGGCAAAGATCGGTCAGACCGTTGTTTCATAATTGTTATAAAGAATTTTTTCAATGATTTTAATGAAATTTCATATGGCTAGAGTACCTGGTTAATGAACATACTAAAAGTCTATAGTTTTACAAAATGTGATTGAATTATAAAAATTATTTAAAATTTGAAATAATCTGCCGAGCTAGAAAATACTTTGTGTATATATTAGACTGTATGTGTTTGTTTTTCAATAATGTGTAATAAAAAAAGTTGTTCAAAATTGAATAATCTGCAATAGTTTTTTACATTATGACGTTCTAGAGCAATTATGTATATTTATAAATCACTCATAAATTGATATATTGATTTCTTATTGATCAAGTTGGTTGTTTAAACATATCGGGAAGTTCATGCAACTTGCCTTAATAGAAAAATCCACTTACAACTAGTTCATTTTTCATAGATAAATCTGAATTTATATGATATACATTAGTTTGGTGTATAATATGTAGCTTCTGAATAAATAATAATCAAATTAAATTTTCAGGCGCAATAGGATATAATCAAAGGAATAGGATAGATACATTAATGTACAATATTTTGTATCCACAGGTAAATGATTGTAATGTTATAAATAATAAATGATGATAATATATTCACGAAACATATATTCAAAAAAATATTTTTATCATATTTTGTAGTGTCCAATGGTGAAAACACGTACTATAGAATTAACCAATTTTGATAAGTTACCAGCAGGTCAAAATGCTACAGTAGCTGTTATGAGTTACAGTGGTTATGATATTGAAGATGCTCTCATTTTAAATAAAGCCTCAATAGATAGAGGTTATTTTGAATTCTTGAATTTATTTTTATATTTATAAGTTAAATACTTGACAAATTAAAATATATTTTTCATTATAGGTTATGGAAGATGTTTAATATATAAGAATTCGAAATGTTTGATGAAGCGCTATTCAAACCAAACTTTTGATCGTATTATGGGACCATTAAGGGATGCTACTACAGGTGAAATAAATTCTATAAAATATTATAAGCTATTATATTAATATATTTTAATTCATATTATTCAATTTTTTTATTTAAATGGTTTTTTAAATTACGTAGGAAAATCCATTTTTAAACATGAAGCTCTAGATGCTGATGGAATAGCTTCTCCTGGAGAAATGATATCAGATAGACAGGTAAATTATAGTTGCTTAAATTGTAATGTTTTCAAAATAAATCTTGAATTTTAGTTATCTTTTTCACATACCTAACAATACAATAACATATTGTTCAAACACATACAATAACATATTGTTCAAAAGTAAAATGTTCAAAAAAAAAAATGTTTTTAGATCCTGGTCAATAAGCAAGTTCCACTTGTTACAATGAACCCAGTGGTGGCAGGCGAAAATAAGCCTGTTGAACACAAAGAGGTATATTATATTAATATTATTATATTATTAGGTAGAGGTTTATTATTTATATTGAATATATTTGTTAATGTTTCTAAAATTGGTGATGTTACTAAATACTTAAAAATATAGGTGCCAATTAGTTATAAATGTTCAGTACCAAGTTACATTGAAAAAGTAATGGTCTCAGCCAATGCAGAAGAATCTTTTCTGATTAAAATTTTACTACGACAGACTCGTAGGCCTGAAATTGGTGATAAATTTAGTTCTAGGCATGGCCAGAAAGGTGTCACAGGTATATTGAACATCAATTAGTTTTGTTTGAAAATTATATTTTGCACTCCTTTAATATAAGTTTGTTTTCCATTAAAATATTTCTAGGTTTGATAGTAGAACAAGAAGACATGCCCTTTAATGATTATGGTATTTGTCCTGATATGATCATGAATCCGCATGGTTTTCCATCTCGAATGACTGTAGGGAAATCAATTGAACTATTAGCAGGGAAGGCTGGATTACTTGAGGGAAAGTTTCATTATGGTATGTGTGTTAAAAATAAATCAAATTATTTAAATAGAACAAAATTTCAAAATCTTTCTATTGTAGGCACTGCTTTTGGTGGCTCTAAAGTTTCAGATGTTTCTGCAGAATTGGTAAAGCATAATTTCAACTATATGGGAAAAGATATATTCTATTCTGGTGTGACGGGCGAAATGTTGGAATCTTATATTTATTCTGGCCCGGTAAGCTATCTATCATTAAAATATTAGAGATATAAAAAATTATATAAAAAAAACTGATGTATTTGAATATTAGCAATTTTAAGAATTTTTTTTTTAATTTCTACTGAAATGATTATAGTTCAGCAATTTTAATAAGTTCAACTTTGATTTTTCAAATGTTTTTAAAAATATTAACTTTCTGATTCCATAAGTTAATTTTGTAGCACATCTAGAGGTTTTTGTTACACAAATTGAAATGGATCTGTAATACATTCTTATCTTATCTAATTACATAGATGTATTTTACATTCATAAAAACATAAACAAGACCATAAGCATAAACAAGATCTTTTTTATTCAAAAAGGTGTACTATCAAAAATTGAAGCACATGGTACAAGATAAAATGCATGCTCGATCACGAGGACCCCGTGCAGTATTAACACGACAACCCACAGAAGGTCGCTCTAGACAAGGAGGTCTGCGTCTTGGTGAGATGGAGCGTGACTGCATCATAGCATATGGAGCAAGGTATAATATTAAATATTACATCTACAATTTTTTTTAATTAAATTTTCTTGATATGTCAATTTAAACTACATTTCTGTGAAGTATAAAGAGCAATATTTTCGTTATTAGACAATCAGGTTACAGCAGAATTTTATGGATTTTTATTTTGATAAAGGGTGGTACTATATTGGTATCTATGTATTTTTGCGTACTTAATTTATATAGCGTTTTCATTAGTAATTTAAGCAACCTGTTATGTTCATGCATATGTATAATGTTTGTTGCTTTCCTACAAATTCATTATATTTTCAAATAAATTGAAATTTTTATTGTAGTATGCTGCTGGTAGAGCGTCTCATGATTGCATCAGATGGGTTTAATGTGGATGTATGCAATATATGTGGCCGACTTGCTTATACAGGATGGTGTCATGCTTGTTACAGTTCAGCTTCAGTCAGTACGATTGCTGTGCCATATGCATGTAAACTATTGTTTCAGGAAATGACCAGCATGAATATGGTACCAAAATTGATTCTCAGAAGCTACTGTAAATAATTTGGTATTTTGATCTAGTTTTTTTTTTTTTTTCAAATAAATGTCCAAGCAATAAATGGCTATATTTTGCTTAGAAACTCAACTTTTGTACATGGGTTATTTTATATTTGTTGTATGTGATAGAATAAATAAATATTTTGGATAAGTAAAATGTTCTTCAATTTGTCACGCTAATCTTTAGAAAAGTATTTTAAACATTTATTTCAACCGTCTTCAAAATTAAGTACAATTTAATAATTTTTGTAATATATTTCATTTGGTAATAATTTATATTTTTACAGGGTATTCTTTGTCATGTCCATTAATCAACTATCAGTCTTTTTATATTAAATTTTATTATGTAAAGGTGTGCCTCACCTAAGAAACGAGCACGAACGTACGTACCTGAAGGTGCGTCCACACCTAACGAACGAACACGAACGAACATAAAAGAACGTACCAGAACGAACGGTAACAGCATAGTGTGGACGCCACAACGATCACGAACGAACATAAACAAACATGGCGAGCAATGTTCCGCAACTTGTCGGTACATCAAAGGGAATTGTTCGTTCATGTTTGAACTCGTATGTGCAGTGTGGACGCTACCACGAATGTAGACAAACATTTTTCTTTTTTGGTGTTAAAATGTGCATTAATGCATTAATTTATGTTGTATTTATTATAAGATATTGCTGTTATTGACAAATTTTGTAAATTTGATGACTTTAAATAATTTTTCTCTTTCCCGCCACTTTAAATAATAAATCTGACGTTTCACGGTACATCCTCGAACAAAAAGATTCAAACCCTCACTGCTTTGAGGCGTTTGTTTGGAATTTTTCGCGTTCGTTCGTGTTCCTGTTCGTTCTATTTTGTATTTTCTTGTTCGACATGTTCGTTCGTGTTCGTTCGTTAGGTGTGGACGCACCTTGAAAGAACGCCAATGAGGACGTTACAGCGAACACGAACGAACCAGAACGAACATAGCGAGCAATATTCTGCAACTTGTGGGTACATCAAAGAAAATTGTTTGTTCATGTTTGATTTCGTATGTGCAGTATGGACGGCTACCACGAATTAAACAAACATTTTTTTTTATTTTAATATGTGCAGTTCTGCATTAGTTTATGTTGTGATTATTATGTGATATTGTTGTTATTGATAAATTTTGTAAATTTGATCAATTTAAATAATTTTTCTCTTTTCCGCCACTTTAAATAATAAATCTGACGTTTCACGGTACATCCTCGAACAAAAAAGATTCAAAAGCCCTCACTGCTTTGAGGCGTTTGTGTGGAATGATTTGCCTTTGTTCGTGTTCGTTCTTCTTTGCATTTTCTTGTTCGACATGTTCGTTCGTCAGGTGTGGCCATGGTGTGGCCCACCTGCATGATTTGCCCTTCGTTCGTGTTCGTGTTTGTTCTTCTTTGTATTTTCTTGTTCGTCATTTTCGTTCGTGCTAGTTCGTCAGGTGTGGTCGCATAGCCCGTCTCCACTGCACGAACGCGCACGGTGAATCCTGTTTTTGACATGCGCGAGGTTTGCTTTTGCTTCGAATAATTTAGTCTGCGTACATTGCGAACAGGTTCGCCGTACGGATTCGTGCAATGGTCGAGCCATTATGCTTATTTATCTGTGCACCACCTTAATGTAATTTAACTTATTATGCAATGTTTCTTTTTTTAATTTAGCTTATATTTGTCCACGTAGAAGTTTAATTTGAATCTGGTTTTATTTTGAGTCGAGTAATTCGAATTTGAATTTGAATTTTTTTGAGTCGGATATTTCGATCACGTTTTAAAATCATGTAAAGGTGCATCCACACCTAGCGAACGAGCATGAACGAACATTAATTTTGATATGCGCGTGGGTTTTGCTAGAAATTTATAATCTGCGCATATTATTCATCATGTTCGTTCGTTAGGTGTGGATGCACCTTAATAATAGGTCCATAGATAAAAGAAGAGTGTGTTTAGGTCTAGGTCCGCAGTGCCTTTCTATTGGCTACCCTGCAAATGTCACCATGAGTTTTGCTCACTACCGTTGTTGAAAAAAGCAATGTTTTGACATTTGTTGCAACCCTAAACAATATAATAATGCTTATAACCAGTACATTACAAATAGTAATAGTTAAATTGACTAATAAACAATTTCATAAACGTATAGTATTGTAATGTAAAATATATAATATACTTGTGAAGCACAATGCGTACGGTACGTTAGCCATTTCCGAACATATTTGATTACATGTAAATCGTAAATTTGTTTCTTTCAGAAAGTGAAAACTAATATCAATGAATTATTTCACAAGAAAAAAGTTTTGAACGTGTGTGCACCTATGGTTCGATATAGCAAGTTAGTTTATAATTATATGTAAATAATAAAATGTAAATTCCAGAGGTGAATTAGTGATGTTTTCACTAGTTTAATAACATAAGTGCTCTTTTAGCCTGTTACCTTCTATGAACAGAAAGTTTTAATATTAATTTTTTTTGTGGATTAATTTTACTATTGTGATCTTACTCAATCAAAAATTTCTTAATGTGGTTTCAATATCGTAAATTTATTTTTGGAACAGCATGAAAATGGCTTCACAAGCTACTTTTACCTTTACCTTTTAATACCTTTGGGATTACACAAGTAATATTAATGTTACTAAAGATTTATGAATATTTATGTTGCAGATTACAGTTCCGTAATTTAGTTCGTTTACATAATGTAGATCTATGTTTTACACCAATGATTGTTGCAGATTCATTTTGCCGTAGTGAGCAAGCACGCCAAAATGAATTTACTACAGAAAGCGGTATGATTTTTTTTTTTTTTAAATTTGTATAACATGTGTCGATAATTATTTAATAAAACAATGCCCTATTTTTTCATGATAGGTGATACTCCATTGATTGTTCAGTATGCAGCGAATTGTCCAGAGGATTTTGTAGCAGCATCTCAAATGGTATATCCGTAAGTCTTACCAATCATGATTATTTACAAAATTCTACCTTATTATAAATTAAACTTATTTCAAAGCTATATTTAATTTTTCCTGTTTTTAACGTGGATTGTTTTTTATAATATTTATAAGTTTCATATATTTTCCTCATTTTTTTAAAGTCTGATTTTAGTTTTATTCTAAACCTGATACAAACTTTTGAAATATGTTAACTATCAAAATTTCTATACAATGTTTTTTTTGTCACATCGGTATGTATAAGAGTAAGTATTGATTATATTATCTTAATTTATATAACAGTTATGCAGATGGAGTTGACTTAAACTGTGGATGCCCACAGAGGTGGGCAATGCAAGATGGTTATGGATGTGCTCTACTTACACAAAGTGATCTCATCAAGGACATGGTTACCTCAATACGTAATAAATTACCAAATTCATTTAGCATATCTGTGAAAATTCGTTTATTATCTAGCATAAGGTATTTGTTTTAAAAAATTAATATAATATTAACAAACGATTTGTTTATTATTTAAATAATGAGAAAAAAAATAGGAAGTTAATTTCATAATGACGAGTAATATTAATTAATAAATTACTAGATTTTAAATATAATTTTTTTATGCACAAATTTTCACAATAATTTCTTTTAAACTCATCATTAACATTAATAAATTGATAAATTAAATTTAAACTAAACAATTTTAATGATAATAATTAATTAAATTTGTTGTTGAACTTCCAAAAATGGTTTAATGTATTATAGTTTCAATATTAAATTTCAGGGAAACTGTTGAATTGTGCAGACAACTAGAACATTGTGGAGTAACCTTCATTACAATTCATGGCAGAACACCATCACAAAAGACTGAACCAGTAAATGTTGCAGCATTTATTGAAGTTCAAAAGTCGATTGCAATACCATTGATAATAAATGGAGATATTAAACATTTGGATGATGCTAAGAAATTAGCTTCTCTGACAAATTGCAATGGTAAATAATTTATATATGAATTTTATAAAATTTAAATTCAGTGCAGGGCTATTTTATGTATTTTAATTGAATGTTAATTGTGTATCTATTATAGAATATTTAGCATTGCTGTTTTTTTTTAATTTTAGATTTTTGCATTACTATTCAAAATTATACTTCGAAATCTAACAAGTGTTTACAGTATTATAAGCATATTATAAGATATATGCAAGTTCATACTTTTACAATCATATTATTAAAAAAAACAAAGTTTAGTACTAACTCTTTTCATCGTATTTTAGCTGGTTTTCTTCTATATCATTAAATAATATATATTAGAGTGGTCCTTAATATGGACATTTTTGAATTTTATTGGTCCCAGGGAAATTTTAATGCTTCCAAATTGATAAAAAAAATCTCTAAAAGTTTTAGCTCTTAATATTAACGTTTAGATAGTGCGCAATTCAATCAAAGTTTCGTATCGAAATAGCATGGAAAACATTTCGAAAATTTTAAAAATGTTTTTTAGATAATGTTTTTAGATATAGAGGTTTTTCTTTAATTAATTTGGAGGCATTTGAGCCCCCGGTAGCAAGTAAATTCGAAAATGTCCATATTAAGGACTACCCTAATATATATATATATATATATATATATATAATATAAATATAAATAATAAATGGGCACAAAGAAAAAAACACATCTCACTTTTATGTTTAATTTTATAGGAGTTATGGCTGGAAGAGGAATATTATCAAATCCATCACTTTTTGATGGAACAAATAAAACAACTGAAAATGTAATTCAAGAGTGGGTAAATATTTGCAATGCTGAAGGTAATAATGTAAGTTTTCAAACCTATCATCATCATTTGGTTTTCATGCTTGAGAAGGTGTTGCCTAAAAGAGTTAGATCAGTATTTAATTCACTCTCAACTAAAACAGCAGTTACTGAATCCTTAGCAGATTTATTTGGAATAATACCACAACCTATTAATTCATCAAATAAGGTTGATTGCTATTTTGAAGATTCATATTATAAAGGGCAAACAAATAAGGTCTGTGATAAGTGTTGTAAGGTAAAGCAAAATTGTTCTTGTTTAAAATTCATTTATGATTCAAGTGAAAATGGGAAATATTTTTATGATGCTTGTGATGATGATGACAGTGATGGTGATATGTATTTAGGGAATACTTTATTTGATCAATGAGTTTTAGAGTAAAATGTAACTTAATCAATAATCTATTTTTATAAAACTGAAACAAAGGATTTTTATGTTTTATAATGAATTAAAATGTTTGTAAAAAATGTAAATTATAGATTTATATATATTTTTTTATGCTACATATTTTCTATTTCAATTTTAAATTAAAGCATAGTTTGGCTAAATTTAAGTTTTATTGTAATATATATTAAATAAAATCTAACAATATTCAACATCAATTGATTTTGTCAACATAATTTGTTTAATATGCAATAATTGTAGAAAAGTTAAAAGTAATTTAAGTCAATGATAATGATAGTGTACATTAAATCAATCATTCATTATCTGAACATGATGAAATGCCATCTATATCATCAGGATATTTTTGAAGGCGTTCTAAGTGCCTTTGCAAAGTTCTTATAGAAGGCAAAGGTATTACATTTCTTATTAAATTGTAACCATCTACTCCACAAATAGTTTTGATCTTTATAGCTTTCTCTATAGTATCATTGCACCACTTCATATAATTAGTAGATTTGCGATATAAGGCTGCTATTTGATCATTATTAAATATACTTTTAAGCATCTTTTCATAATCTGTAATTTCGATATGTTTCTTTTCGATTCGTGCTTTTCTTAACTTTTTTTTATACAATTGCAACCTTTCATTTTTACGAATCATATCCTTTTTCATAATTTTCAACTGATTCTCTAATTTACTAACATATTTTTCTAATGCTTTTATTTTGTCATTTTTACTACAATTTTTCGTATTCTCAAATACTATAGGCTGGACATGAATTTTATTATCTTCAGCATCAGTTTCACAATCAGAAGTTGAATTAGAGTATACTTCATACATACCAGAATGCTCACTGGGTATATTTGGATCGCATATTTCATCATTTGAAAATCTATCATCATGATTTAAACAATTGGTAGCTTCTTTTAAATCTTTGTTTTCTGAAGTCAGTACACTTATATAACTTCGTGTTTTAGCATATCCATTAGGATTAGTAGATTTTAATTCTGTAGATTCTTTCTCACTACCAGATTGCTTCTCAGTGAAACAAAATAAAGTTGGAACTGCAGTGTCTTTCAATCTACGTTTTCCATTTGAAGTGACTGGCTTCCATTGTGAATTATCAAAATGTACCTAATGATCAATTAAATAATTGATTAATGCGTTTTAATAAGTATTGAAATTTATTCCTACTATTTCCTTTAAGGGGGTTGTTCTTTTTTTGTTACAAAAAATGCAAGGTATTTGTTTTTGTTTTTTCTCGAAATGTATTTATCATAGAGACATGCGGTTTTTTTTAAACACAAATTACAAAACCATAGAATATTACGTGATTTTCTTCTTTTTTTTTGCGCCGTCATTTTTTAACCAGGGGGCGCCAAAGTCGGTCTTGCAAAATCGATCTCTTTTGCGATGCCACAGATAAATCCGTTGCGCATCGCCCGAAACAAAAAAAAAAAATTACGTTGAAGAAGAAGTTTGTTTCCAGTCCCCCTACCAAAATAAAAGAAAAAAAGCAAGAAGGAAAAAAATGGCAGCTATTTAAAAAAAAAGTGTCAAAAAAGGCCTTTTTCTGGGGCGAGAAGCTTCGCAAAATTTTTTTGCGTAATGTTATCAAGTTGTTTGAGGTAGGGGGACTAGGTATTGCAGTGGTGAACAAATTAAAGAAAAATCCAAGTCGATCCGACTTGTAGTTTTTGTTTAATTTGTGGCACCGCATTGAAAAAAGTCAATTTGAGAAAAACATATTTAAAGTTCTTAATATAATGTACTGAATACACCATTTAATTTAATGTACTAAATACACCATGGTGTTCAAAGATGCTGACACATTAAAAAGGTCATGTGCATGAGGTATTATAATGAAAAAGAGGAATCTGGCATACAATAGCTCGCGGAGCGATAAAAAAACGCTTTCAGAGGATCATACATATAGAGATATATATATATATCTATAACTTTGTCAAAAAAATAGATATTGAGATGATTTTTTTTTTAAAATGATTCTAAGGTTTTTATCTTTCATAATATCAAAAAATCTCAAAACCGAAACAAAGAAAAATAAAAAAAGAACAACACCCTTAAACAAAAATCAAATGAGTTTATGAGGTAAATTGTAATTCTTTGATATGCAACCACCAAACATATATCCTTCAAGCTAGTTTTTGTAAGCTATCATTCACTTCGAGATATTTAACATCTCATTACCAAATGGCTGAACAATATAAGTCAATACAGTAGGGCTAACAAAATACAAAATAAATTTAGTACTAATCATCTACAAACTAACCTCGCACAAGTATGAGTGATCATTTGGAAACCAATCTTTTCTTTTAACTTTGGCAGCCCAAAGTGCTCGTCTTAAAGGATTTCTTGGAAAAACCTTCATAAGATAGCCTTGTGTCGAGCGATTTTTGCAACCAAATGCTGAACATGACGGCATTATATATCAGAGTGATTATGTTTGTTTATAATCTGAAAATCTGGAACCTACTAAACTCATATAATCATCATTTGTTTACTTCTGAATAATAGTCATTATTATTATTGATTATAAACATATCCAAAAACGCATGGGAAGATTGTTTAGGAATGTAATCAATCACAAAATCACATAGGGAGCAATGACATTTCTCGTAGTCGTGTACTGGATAAGAAATTCAACTCTTGAAAATTTGGTTGTTAACTCCTTAACTGGTACCGGGACCTAGCATCGCCAGCACATAAATTATTTTATACAAATATTCGTTATTATCTCATCCTGTAGAAAAACGCATAAGCGCATAAATGTTGACAAAGCTCTAGTTGATAGACCAAATATCAACTGTACCTCCAGAATTGCATAAAAAATAGCGAGCGAAACGCTAAAAATACCACTCATTACAAACGCTTACAAATCTTTTTGTGCATTCTTCATCATTTACAGGATTTACAGCCTCCACGTTTCTCCAATCTACAATTTCTCAATAGAAATTTTCATTCTTTGTATGGTTTGTTTTGTGTTTGTGTTTTGTGCAATCTAGGGCTTTTGTCATTATTATATTGTCTAGGGATGGTCTAGGGCTTTTGTGATTGCGTCGTTTATGGACAACTTTATAGTTATAGTGCAAAACAAATGTCTATGGCGTATCTTTGGGAAGATAGAATTTTGGCATATTCCCATGAACTTGAATATCGCAACTTCGTTGAGAAAATTTAGTAATTATATATAATTTATTTGATAAATCGCTTATGAAATAGTAGTCGGTTCTTACTACGATAGCTAATTATTTAATTAATAACATTTCTCGTATACCGTCGTATTAATTTCAATAATGGAAAGTGATAGCATAAATGGTCCAGAAGTATGAATTCATATAAGTAATTTGTGTTAAAAATGCCATGAACTAAAATATTTTTTTATTTCCAAGGAGCCGCTGGATGACGGATTATATATTCCACTGCAAAGGGTTACCAATATTGCTTCCCAATTGCGCATAACAAAACCAACAAATGAGTTAGACGATGATATAGATTCCCCAAGTAGCGAAAGTGAAACTGATTCTGACAGTGATAATCAGCTTAAAGCTAAAAAACCTAAAGTAAAGCGTACTCATAAATCTATGCCCAGCACAGATTCAAAACAAAAAAATTATAACATATGGGCCCATGTTCAAGAAGATGTTCTGACTGAATCATTGGGAGGCTGTGGAGTGAGTCAAGATATTTGTGATAAGTCTAGAAATGTAGAGTCTTATGATTACAGAAGAGGTTATGCTATGAGCAACAACCTGAATAATCAAAGGACAAATCAATTACAACATCGATTAAGGAGGTTTTCAAGTGAAAGTACTGACGGTAATGCAGGGCGAAAACTATCGAGTGATAATGACAGTGCTGATAGCACTTTTAGTCGGCAACGTAGTTTTTCCGATTGCAAACGCCATGAAAAACCTTTTAGGAAATATACAAATAAAAGGAAATTTAAGGATAGAAATAATTTCAATATAAGACATGGTGGAAGGCTCAACACTAATGATGAAAATAACAGTGATGGAAACTTTGGACAAAAAAATCTTTTAGATCTAACAACCACTTCTGAACATTCAGAGGAACAAGTAGCAAATGATATAGCTAGTAAATTATATGAGCCTAAGGATTGTTTAATATGTGAGTATTTTATATTGATGGTACAACTTTTATTTCAAATTTTTATATTTTTATATATTTTTTAGTAAGAGCCGTTAAAACGATCGGAAAAGATAAATGTATTCAAATTTTTAATGAAGTACAACGCATTGAGAAAGAAGGAGGAATGGCAATTATGGTAATTAGAAGCTATTATTAATTTAAAATTTGAATTATTTGTAATTATTATTGTATAAACAACATATCTTAAGTAAAAACAAATCAATTTATTAATTCATCAAAATATTTTAAATCTATTGTATGCAGAACATGTCATAAATATTTTTTCTGCGCAAACTCCATGTCTTCCTCATTATATTGTGAATAAATCTCTCAGGGTGGAACTCGTAGAAGAACACCTGGAGGTGTTTTTATATTTTTAATGAAACACGATGATTCCATTACTAAGGAGCAAGAAAAGGAAATTTTCATAGAAGACCGAAAAATTGCAAATAAAAAGAAAAAACTGTCAACAAAAAAAAAGCGCAAGGAAGACTATAAGAACTTTCAACAACTAATGCAGCAAGGTAGATTAAGTTAGCTTTTTTTACTAGTAATAATTTTTATTCCCACACCAAACAATTTAATGAAAAAAGGAATTTTGGCCTTGCTGGCTTAAACATTAAAATCAAGTATGTACTTAAATAAAATTCATGAAGCATCATCAAAACAAAATATTCTTGCGTGTATATTGTTTGAGGAAATCTGTTTTATTTAATTTCCTTATTCATATTTAAGTCTTAAACTTCAATTAACAGAATTGTTTAAATAAAAATTGGAAATTATTTAAAAATGTAAAATTATTATCAGTTGCATATAATAAAATAAAGAAATAATACAGATGTTTGGTATAATAATTTTTGAGCTATTAAGAGGCTTATTTACAATAAACTATTTGCAACTATTATTGTTTAATAAATTCATATTGATAATTACATCATCAATGTATAAATGTGTAATCAGTTTTATTCAGATGGAAACTGTCTTATGTGTTCAATATTTCTTTTCATTATAGATAAAGATTTGCCCAGGCTTTTAAGTCGTACTGAAGCAGCTGAAGAAATGCTGTCAGTTTCTAACACTTGTAAGAGTGATTTAGATGGAAATGAAGAAAGTGTTGTGACTAATCCGCCGCCTTCCCCAGTGACTGATGGGGGCCGTGAAAATAGTAGTGATATGGATATGTTTCAAACAAATACGGCATTGCCAAACAGAAAACTTTCAACAGAAGAAAGCTTATTAAATGCTGATCAATCAAATTTAGTTGATCTAAATTATGGGGATGCCATGGATCTCTTCTGATTAATGGTACATTATGTAATGTTTTAAAGAAAACCTTCAAAAAACCAAAATTAAAATAGTCTCTAGCATAATTAATTTGTCTATTTTTGATTAGAGTTAATTTATGGTTTCTTTAAATGTTGAAATATGTTGTTTTTTATACTTATAGTTGACTCATACAAAATGTCTTTAATTCACAATTTAAATACATATTCATAAAAAATTATAAAATGATTATATATATGTTTACAGATAAGGGCATATGTCATTAGTCAAATTAAAATTAATTTATTAATGTTTTAATATTTTTAATATTTTTATTATTTAACCATAACATCAAACTTGTATATATAAGTCTCTGCTATCCTCATCCAAAAGTCATATGAAAACTGGTTTTGTGTGTCAAATGCATTATATGCTATTTATGTACACACAATTTCATTTCCTGATCCAATAAAAACTAAAGAAAGTGATTACCTCCAATAACATCAGTTTTAACAACCAATTTCATTCTTAAGTCCGTCTTTGTTAACTTGTCGAATGCCATACATTAATTAATAGACTTTTAATTAAGTGTGAAGATATGTATTTAAAATATAGTTTAAATTATAATTACCAAGATAATTTATTTTTGCAAAACGGCTTATGCGTCTTGTAAAATTAACTAGCTTCTTCTTCTCTCGTATTGAAAATTTGCAAAAGCTTTTTTTCAAATTCACTTTTTATTGAAATTTTATAAGACTCGAAAAATAAAATAAAAATAAGGTGCTTTTTTGTATTTATAGTCACTTAATTTATAACAAGTATTGTTCAAAAATATTTTTATATTTATTAAAATGTACACAAAATATTTGTCACTGCAGCCTTAAAATATTAAAATATATACATATTATTTTGTTTTTTCGGCCAGTGCGGTTGTTTGAACTAAATTTTATTTAACAGCCTATAGATTTTTCATATTCTATGTAAATTATTTCAAATCCATGTAGTACAACATTTTCAAAATTTAGAAATACCAGTCGCAGGGGATTACAAAAATACAATGTTTTGGTGTATCACCACTGAACGGCAAGTCGCACGCGTTGCTCTCTACTCGAACAACGTTTAGCCATCAGAATAAAGAATGATTAAATATCATGACTAAATATTCACGAAAAAGCTTAACGATAAAATAATAGTGCGTTGAGTCTGTTTGCGCGGAAGAAGTGGAATTTCGCATCGTGGAGCTGGAAATTAACTAAGGGGGTATTCTGGACTGGAGGCATGAATTTTATTCGATTTTTGAAAGACCGTAAAAAAGACAAGTAATATTTTCGCTAATAAAAAATAATAAAAATATTTATAGTAATGCATATATAATGAGTAGTACTGCCCTAAGGCAGGTCCGTGAGCTGAATTAATCTCCGCAGTGCCCGAGATAGGCTAATTTTCAATTGGAAACATATTTCGATCTATATTTTCAAGTAAAAATGTGTTTTTTCACAAAATAGATCGACGGTCTGAAAAAATGGATATTTTCGATTTTTTTTATATAGTAAAGGATCCGAATTTGGAAAAGATAGTAATTCATCCTGAAGGAAAGTCTATAAAAATTTTAAGCAAATCAATTCAATAGTGATAGAGAAATCGTGGGTCGAAAAAGACGTCTTTAAGTTATTCGAGGAAGGAAACAGAGATAATTAATATAATTATCCTGATTAAACAGTTATAAAACCGAAAATAATGCATATTTTGAAAATCCTCGTATATATATATTGAATAGTTAATAAAAATCTTTGAACATATAAATAAACGATATCAATTTTTAATAAATTCTAGACCAGAGTATACCTTTATTAAAATATCATATTCGTCTTCTATAGTAAATTGTCCGGCTTTCCTCTGCTAAGACTAACCCATACAGCACGGGTCAAACAATGGTCGACCTGTTTGGTACCATTTACAGCCTACCGGGTTATTATAAGCCCATTATGGGCCAATTTATGACGCAGTGGGTTTACCCCCATACGTTACCCGCCGGGTCAAACAATGGTCGACCTACTCTGACCCATTACTCACCGAGTTGTTATGAGCAAATGAAAAGTGTATTCAAATATACCGCGCATGCGTATACGCGTGCGCGGCGTTTGCGCAACTAGCGCACAGGTGGCGGCACTTATGTTGTTCGGCATTTGCATTTCTTTGTCTGTTCTCATGACTGTCATAGATAAACACGATGAACAAGTATAACCTGGGTACTATATACGTATACTTATGCTACTAAAATTCTAAACAATATTAGAATATAATATATTCGTAATTTGTTTGTTGTTTGACTCTGTAATTTGTCAAAAAAAATTCTATAAATAAATATGTCTGATAAAAAAATTCGCAAACACATTGCGACTGTGTCAGATAGACATTTTTATAGAAGACTTTTTTGGGAAGTGCAGAAATTACGTTTGGAAAGTGTTTTGCAGAACTCTGAATGCGTAAAGGATTGCCTAGTACTAGTGCTTTTACAATAGATAATATTGAAACTGCGACTAATGCTTCTATTGGAGATGACTTTGAAGGACCGTTTTCTTGCCAGGCAGAGTTACAGGGTGATGTTGAAACAAATGATTATATTTCTCTTTCATATAGCGAGGATAGTTCCAATGAAGATATAACTGAAGTTTTTGATGCAAGACAATTTTTAGCAGACTGGGTTGTGAATTGTCAGATACCTCATAATGCTGTATTCGCACTACTTAAAGGGCTAAAACTTCATGATTGTTTCAGTGATTTACCAGCAGATAGTAGAACACTTCTGAAAACAAAAAGAACTGCTGTATCAAAAGTTGCAAGTCCAGGTGAATATATTCATTTTGGTTTATTAATTGGATTGAAAGATTCTATTGATAGGTTGAAATTGATATCTTCTATCATTGAATTAGAAATTAATGTTGATGGTTTGCCTCTCTCGAATTCTTCGAACATGTCAGCTTGGTCTATTAAGCACTGAGGGTTTTGATCACAATGGGAAACAATATAAGGTACGCATCAAATATTTTGTTTGTGATACTCCCGCCAAATCATTTATATTGCAGACAAAGGGACACACAGGCTGCTTCTGTTGCTCGAAATGTCTTGTTCGTGGTTCAAATATTAATCGCAAAATTTGCTTTCCAAAAATGCAATCACCTGCAAGAACAGCTGAACACTTTCGAAGCTTAGAAGATGAAGACTACTACAATGGCTACACGAGATTGCTTGAAATACCGTACATTGGTTTAGTTACTAATGTACCACTTGACTATATGAATTTGATTTGTTTAGGAGCAGTTAAGAGATTGATGCTTTTGTGGACTGAAGGTGAGCTTCCAATTCGTTTGCATGTGCTAAAACTAATGACTTTTTTATTTTTTATGCAGCTTAAAGATTTATATATCCAAGGACTTTGCTAGGAAGCCTCAATCATTGAAATATGTGAGACCATGGAAAGCTACAGAATTTAGACAATTATTATTGTATAGTGGTCCAGTAGTTTTGAAATCTCGTCATATTTCAAATGACTTTTATAAAAATTTTCTTACTTTACATATTGCTATTAAAATTTTATGTAGCAACACGTTATTAAATGATCTTTTAGATTATGCTCAGCAACTACTTCATCATTTTGTTGAAAGATTTAAGGTTTTATATGGAGATCATTATGCAACTCATAATATACATAACATTTTACACTTAGCTAATGACACCAGAAGTTTTGGTACACTTGATTCATTTAGTGCCTTTAAATTTGAGAATTACATGCAGGTCTTGAAAAAATACATACAGAAGTCAGAGAAACCATTGCAGCAAAGTTATGAAAGATACTTTGAGGTAAAAGAACTTTTTATGGGAAAACATGTAAGGCCTGTAGCCATGCCTAGAGCTTGTGAGATGTCTATGCATTTCGAAGGACATTTGATAGAATATTGTGGTAAACCTCAGTATAAGGTTGTATATTGTTCAGATTTTACATTCAATATTAATAAAAAGGCTGATTCATTACGGCACCAGGTTTTAATGAATAGGCTTAATAAGCAGTGATGCCAGTGTGATATGAAGGATGATTTGCCTGATTATACACTGGCAGTTTATAATAAATTTCCTGTTCGGACAGAGGCAGAACTGCTAGATGTGGAGCAGCTATCGACAGATGTGAGAATAGCAGAGATATTGCTAAATATGATGTTACCCAATGGATAAAAGTGGACAAATCAATTACATATACTGCTAAATATACATATACCGTCATGTCCATGACAGATTTATTTGCAATTTTCCGTAAGTTGAAATATATTTCACATATTTCGAAAATGTCAACTAACATTTTTTATTTGATAAAATAAACCTGTAAAACTATTATTCAAATTTTGTTATTTTCAGTGCTTTAGAAGGTGGTGAACCCAACGCGAATAATTAGTTTAAATTATATAAATAATAATAATACTATACATAGAAAATAAAATAATAGGTTTTAGGATAATAATCACCAAAAATTTAGTTAAGTTAGTTTAATTTAGTTATTTTCTAGTAATGTAAATGAAATTATTTTTAATAAATATATTACTTATGGAGTTGCAGTTTTAGTTCATTTGATTTTTATAACTATATGGATTATTTATATTTAATACAAATACGCACGGAAAGTATGTAACAATTGTTGCACTATATACCGCCATTTTGACCCATCGCGATACCATTCCAGCCCCATAGCATACCCGTATTGAACCCGGCGGGTTGACCATGGGTCAAACCAGGGCTCTGACATATGTGTCGCCATGGGTTCACCTATGTTCATATATGGTACCAGTGGGTTGACCATAGGTTAACCCTACAACCCATTGTGACGACCATAGGTTGACCCTATGTCAACCATGTGCTGTGTTGGATAGTTCCTGAAGATAGTTCCAGGAAGATATAAGAGTTCCTGAAATGACGCACACTGCTTCCTCCGATATTGTACGAAATACGCAAGCAATTTTAATGTATGTGTGTGTGTATGTATGTATGTATGTGTGTGCGGATACAATTTTTTGTCGACGATTTCGAGAACACCGATCAACCGATTTGAATAATTCAAAAAACATTTGAGGCAGGTCTAGCCGTTCCGAAGATACGGGGCAAAAAGTGCCAAAAACGGTAACTCAGTTTTTAAGAGAACGGAGCGCCCGATTTTAATGATTCAAATAATTCAAAAAACATTTTAATTGTATTGACAAGATGAAGAACTGATTAAGCTTTTGGGAAGGCAGGTCTAGCCGTTCCGAAAATACGGAGCAATAAGTGCCAAAAATGGTATCTCAGTTTTTAAGAAAACGGAACGTCTGATTTCAATAATTCAAAAAACATCTTACTTGTAGTAACAAGATGAAGATTGAATTGATTAAATTTTTGGGAGGACAGGTCCAGCGTTTATGGAGTCTCAATAACAATAAGTTAAAAAATGTAATTTGGCGATCAAAAATGTTCATTGGACATATGTACATTAAATTATTAGATATTTTATAGAGATTTCAATTATGTGTACACATTTTGTGTAATTTTTTTGGGTTCCGTTCCAAGATTTTTAATTACGGTACGGAAAGTTATAGCAATTTGCCTTAAGGCACGATGCCATGCACCCCACTAGTTTTATTATTATAATGACAATAATTCATTTATAGATAAATAAACATATATTCATGAATTCAGTATAATTTTATTATTATAATAATGTGGAATTGGTTTCGAACGACCGAGATTAACGTTTTGTTTTAAATAAACGAATCAAAACGAATCAAAATAATATTGTAATTGATAGTATAAAGGAAAGATGGCGCTCTCTGAACTTACGTCACCGGATCGTAGCGCTACGTAGAAATTAAAAATGGAGAAATGTTGAACCATTAAATCAAGTTTTATGTGCGAAACCATTTCTTAAAAATACTAATTTTTGCTAATATTAAATATTTTAAACTCATAGTGAGAATTAATTACTTTAGCCAGGTACGATTATTTTGATTTTATTTTTTGGTATTAATTTCGTGCTTTTTCATGATAAATATGTTTTCGGGCTGTATAACCTATAAATGTAATCATATTTCATGTTAATTTTTACATGCTACTTTTTCTTTATATAGTATGCCTTCCATTGTCGATGTTAAAACTTCTTGGGCCGATGAGGTAGAGCTCGAAGGCGGAGTACTTCCACCCCCTACAGAAGTTTATGAAAATAATTTAAAAATTGTCACAGAATATAAAATGAATGAGGATAACAAAAAGGTACTACACTTACACACTACTCACTATGAATGGATTATTATACATTTTTATTATTGTTCTTTTTTATTCTGGATTTGATCATGTTTATTATGAATTATGTTTTTCTTTATGCAATTTTGTACAATGTTGCCAAAATATCTTGGCGACCTTAGGACTGCTTTTCTGAGTTAAACTTGGATGTTTTTTTTATTATTTTTTGTTTATTCCTCTGTGTTATTATATGGCTAATAAACAAATTCAATGAGCTAATTTTTGTGGATCTTTGTGATCTGCTTATTGAGAATTTTCATCTATGTCATTGGAATATATTTACTTTTATTTATAAATGACTGCAAATGTTGTTGAGATTGTATAACTCAACATTGAGTTCAGTGAGGTAACTATTTTGTGTGTATTGCAAATGAACAACTGGAAGACTTCAAAACCTTTATTTGAACATAAAAAAACTGCTGGAAAACAAACAGAATATATAGGTTTTTACATATATATTGTGAATCAAGATTCTTATAAATTGAGTGTTGCATTTTAATTATCAAGTGAATTTTTAAGAAATGTGTGCTAAATATACTTTTATTGTGGTATACTGACCAGTGTTAATGTTCAATATGTTAATGCTGTAAAAAAGCAATGTAAGAGCTAAACTTACTTTATACCAATGATGGATACATATTTGTATAAACTTATAAAATAACTATGACATTGATCGTCGGAGGCAGTTTTTGAATTATTTTGTAGTTGTCAGCCAATATGCTAATTGAAATACATAAAAGTAAATTTAAATTATCGTTGGCTCGTTTCTGTTTAATGCTTGATTTTTATTTACAGATAAAATGTGTTCGTACATATAAAATAGAAAAATGCATTGTATCAAAAAGCATAGCACTTCGGAAAACTTGGCGAAAATTTGGTGACTCTGCAGGTGATAAGCCAGGACCAAGCAGTCAAACCACAATGGTAGCTGAAGATGTTTTCATGCAATTCATCACAAATAAGGAAGAAGAAAAAACCGAAGAAGTTGTTGACAAACTGAAAAATATACGTAAGTGTCGTACTTGTAATGGAGACCATTGGACCGTACAGTGTATGTACAAGGACACAATGCTTGGTGGTCCCAAGCCTATGGATAGTGCTAAGATATCAGGAGCAGCGGATGCCGCTGGTGGTGCTACAGGTGACAAGTATGTCCCACCATCTAGGAGAGAGGGAGCTAAATTGGGAGGTCCTTCGAATATAAGAAGGGATGATGCTACTGCCATCCGTATAACAAACTTGTCAGAAGCAACAATGGACTCAGATTTAGAAGACCTAGTTAAGCCTTTTGGTCAACATAGTAAAATGTATCTGGCAAGAGATAAGGTTACTGGTGTTTGTAAAGGTTTTGCATATGTCCATTTCAAGTTTGCAGCAGATGCAGCTCGTGCTATTGCTGGTCTCGATGGCTATGGTTATGATCATTTAATTTTGAAAGTGGATTGGTCCAAACCCGCAGCGCAGCAAGGTGGAAGTGGTACTGGTCAACAAGATTTTTCATATAGACAATAATTTTAAATTAAAAAGTACATTTTTTTGATTTTGGGTATTGGCAAAAAGTAAAGAATATATAACAGTATTTTATTTAAATGATAATTTCAATTGTACTATACTTTTTTCAATACTTATTATTTTCAAAATTTCATGTATACTTATATTTAGTTACTCAAATAGCTACTTGACTGGAACATCAAGATTGTAATATCAGTCTCGATGCATTTTTTTGTTGACTGGAACATAAATAAAACATAATTTTATAAAATTTGCTGCTAGGATTGTCAGATATCCAAATCTTAAACAAACTTTTTTAGGCTATCAAGAATATTAGACTGAATAAACAGATTTAATATGAAGAGGTCAAGAAATACATGCTTTTCAATGAAAGTTCTTATGCATGTGAATTACATACAACTTATGTTACCGAAATAAGAATTGCAAATAGGGGAAAATTTTGCATAATATTTTGAGAAGAAAGATCTAGAATGATTATCTATTTGCCATATATATATATATATATATATATATATATATATATATATATATATATATATATATATATAATATCTATAATCTGCCTGTATGTATACAAAATCATAAAATGTATATTCCATAATACGCTTTTTATTTTCTAAACAAAATCTCACTTCCATGAATGTTCATAATGCATTTATCATATTTCTTTATATATTTAATTTCATATGGTACTACTAATAACCATTTCCAATTGAGTCAAATTTAATGAAAAATATAGTCCTTTCAAATATTGAAATATAAGAAGGGTACTAATCAAGCAACTTATAAAAAATTGGTAATGTGCGAGAAGGGAACTTTGCTGGAGACAAAAAGAAGGTTGAAAACATCCCTAACAATGCTGTTAAATATGAATTGCTTGCAGTCAGTGTATTGTGACAATTCACAGTAAGAGGGAGATCAAGTATTAAGAAAGTTTAATAGCGGAAGCGAAAAGTTTAGTAGATCAATTTGAATTGGAACATTTGGCTGCTATTCATTGAATTGGAAAGACTGGTCTTTCAGACCAGACCAGACTGGTACATAAGATTTAGTGTCCGTTTTAAGGGGTTAGGGGAACTCAGAGGCACGAAAAATTGATAATTTTCAGTAATTTTTTTTGTTATTAAATCATTTGCAGCATAGAAAATTTTTTCCTGACGCCGCCATTTGGTTGATTTTTGAAAAAAAAGCTTTGTTGAGATCTATGATTGTCTATTTATAAAACTTTTTTTTTATTCGATTGATTTCAGACGAATCTCCAAGTGACTTATGATTGTCACCGCAAGGACTTTATTTTGAAACTGGGTCAACACAGACACCTATAACTTTTGAAATATATATATATATATATATATATATATATGTATAACAAATGTATTCTGAGTGGATAATAGATATTAATTTGGAAATATGAACAAACAACACTCTTTTTTGCACTATTTTATTAAATAATAATTTTCACAAACGTTTCGAGAGTAGGTTTGTCTCATCATGTGTGTTATAATTCAAATTTTAAAATATGGAAACCTAAATTAGCATTATGTGTTATCCGTTACACGTTGTTCGAAATACTGTCTTCTGCCCCACCAACGATCGTCGGTGTCCGAATTCTCTATTCGATTTCAAGTGGTTTTCAAGTGGCTAGTCACGCAATATCAGATAGGAAAGGAAGGATTAGAGTCCAGTTGAAAAATAGATGTCGTTAGGAGAAAAAATGTTCTATGAAATGAGACGGTTTGTTTATAAAATTTGTAAACGTAAAATTAAAAATATATGTACATATATATATATATATATATATATATATATAATATGAAAGTTTTGTCGACGTTGATACATATTTGTAATATTTTTGCAGCCCAACCGTCGAATTAGAAAAAAGATTAAATAACAAAATTATTTATTCCATTAAACGTTTCGACACTTGATGTGTGTCATCATTCAGTAATCAAACCAGGAAAAACAACAGAAAAAATTAATTAAAATGTAAAAATTGATTGAACACTAAATTTGTGTAAAATAATAAAATACTATTATATTATCTAACGAGAAATAGAAGGAGCCCTCCTATATTTGATGTTATTGATAGCATGACATTGTGGTCACTGAGAGTGACCACACTTGAATGAGATATGCCTACTCGTACATACAAACTTGTGCAAACTTGTAAGTTCCATTCGGCCTTAGATGGGACATTAGTTGACACCGTGAAAAGTTCTTTTCCGTGACGACATCGAGTGGACCTGGTTTCGGCAACTTCTTTGTATCTCAAAAACTAGAGCTGGTACAAAAAAATGGTTTGCAGTTTTGATATCAGCGCAAAAAATACTATAAGAATCAGTTCTAGAATTTGATGCACCAAACAAAAAAAATTTTTTTGTTGGCCTGTGTTATTTTTCTAGATATTTTATCAAATACGGCTAATTTTGTTTTCTGTCAAATACTGGTAAGAACTGTTGTTCACAGAAATAGCATTTCCTGATAAAATAAATATTAATTGGAATATTAGTTTAACAATATTGCAAGAAAAATTGAAAACTTGTCGCGAGGTTTAATATGGCGATGTGCTTTTAAATACCGAAGTACGCTAGCTCAATAGTGACGCAATGCTTAAAGGAGTATACAACCCATATGGCGAACTACAATTGTTTTTGGATATGAAAGAACAATTATAGTACTTTCGTTATTTTGGTAATAAAGAATAATATCTTTTGCAGTATCTTGTGTTTCGCATTTCATTTTCAGAAAAAGAAAATGTGAACAAATTTTAATTGTGATTTTTTGGAAGTACGAATGTGTGCGAACAATTACACAGATCCACAAAAGAAAAGTCGCTGGATAATAATTCATTCATTCAGAAAAAATGCTAGATTGAAGATTGTGCCAGTTTTTAGATGTTTTTCCATTTTTTGTGTTCCAATTCTGACTAAAGATTTATCTTCAGCGGTAAAAGTACATTGGAAATATATCGAAAAACATATGTCACACACCCAATCCAGGCAACTTTTTTAGTGGACCTGTGTTAATTTCAACCATGAAATTCATAAAAAATTGCCACATATCAAAGCTGAGTGAAACATATCAAAGCTGCATACGTGCTGCTATTTTCTGTTAAAAAAAAAAATAACAAAATTTAAAAAAACGGCTGATATTGATTAGCTTATATAAAAAAGCAGTGCCAAATTTTTTATTGAAGTTTTCAAGTAAATTAGTTTTTCTGTTTAACAATTACTTGTTTTTATTTTGTATTTGTATTTAAACACTTACATTATACACATAATTATATAAAATATATACTTTTTTCAATTATTTATATTTGTTCTTTTCTTGCGCCAATTTTGTAATTTTCTTGCAATTACATTATTTCTGCGCTCAGTCAACAAATCTTTTGGCTTAATTTTAGTTCAGGATTTTGAGTTCATGAAAAAGCTTCAGTTTTATTTAAAAAGAAAAAGCAATTTATTTTTATCATTTTTGTTCTTTATTTTAATTTTTTTAATGCGGAATGGAAAACTACATACAACTCCAAATTTTCATTATTTTTTTTTAATTGAAATTGGATCAAAATTTTTCTGAGCTTATAAAAAAGCTTAAATTTTTCCACTCTATCTGCATTTGAAAAACAATTCTTAGATATTGGCAACCAAATGTTTACCTCCGATAAAACTAACTGATTTGCAGGCTTATCCTACTGTACAAATATCTCCCGACGTGCATTAGAAGTACATAGTTTTTGAATGTCTTGCAGAAGGAGCAATTCTAGCAAAAAATTAGAAATTTAATATTAAACTTTGAAGATAAAACTGTTTTTGAGAGAAAAGTGAAGTTTTTTTCAGAGTTATTGAAATCTCACTTGTTTCGCTAAGCATTGCATAACCTAATTCAAATATGTATGTTAGTATTTTAGCGTTGTAGTGGGTAAATTATCAATGTAATTTGTGTTAGCTGCCCATTTCATTTATATACCACATATTTATACATTCAGAATTAGTTAGTCATTTCTAATACTAATGATTTTCTAAAAATATTTCCTGTGACTAAACGTTCGCCAGGTCAGCTAGTATATATATATATAAATTACGTGCGGCCCGCCATAAAATTTTGAAAACCAAATTGGCCCGTGGGTTAAAAAGTTTGCTCGCCCTTGTCCTAGGGCAGGGCTTCTCAAACTTTTTTATATAGCGACCCCCTTCAAGCTTAGGAAATTTTCAACGACCCCCTACTCCATATAATAAAATATATATTATCCGTAAATGTAGATGTAATATTACACTATTTTACGATGTAAATAAAATAAGGATTTAAAACATATTGTACCTATTCACGTCACTTATATATGATTGGAAACAATGATATAAAACTATATTATATATATATATATATATATATATATAATATATATATATATATATATATGTATAATATATATATATATATATATATATATATATATTCAATAGAAAAAATAAACTTTTGGAACAATTTCTTTATAAGAAAACATAAAACTATATCTATATAATCAATAGAAAAAATAAACTTTTGTAACATTTTTTTTAATGAAAACATATTATTAACATCAAACAATATATTAATGTGACGGATGTGATTGTTTATTTTTACACAAATAATTAAATCTAGGCTTAATTTGAGTTAGTACAGATCGTAATAGATTTTCAACGTTTATTAAAGTTGAACGGTATTTCGATTTTATGTAAGTTAATGTGGAAAAGGCTGATTCACATAAATATGTTGCACAAAATGGTAGTAATTTGTTTATTGCCATTTCCGATAGTAGGGGATATTCTGATTTGATTTTTATCTAAAATTCATGCACAGGCACTTGAAAAAATCTGAGTCGCAAGGTAGTATCACTTGGTAATTCGACAAATTCTTCTTGTGCTTTTGTTTAAAAAATTCATTTCTTCCATTTCAATTGAAAATGGATTGCAAATCCATTGTTATGTATCGATATCATTGGGAAATGATTAACAATGATTTTTGTTATAGGAGTATCTTTTTTGAAATATTGTTATTATTTATATACTCGTTAGTAAATGGCAACATTTCGAGCAATCCACCTTCCACTCTGTTTTTCCATATATGAATTATTTTAACAAAGGCCTCAAGTTTGTTCTTTAAAAAAACATATTAACGCAGACTCCCTACATTGATAAATTCATATCACTGATTTTATCAAAAATATCGGCCAAATAGCATAGCTTGAGAAGTCATAAATTATCGTGAAAATAATCGGCCTAATAATACTAATTTTAAAATTTTGTTTATAATGATTGAAAAGTATCAGATCTTTGCGACCCCTTCCCAGTAGTCCCACACTTTAAGAAGCCCTGTCCTAGGGTATCCACAATCATTAGTAATGATTATGTATATGATATGTATGCAACAAGTTGTACGATAGTAGAACTGGTATTCGCGGTTTTTGGGCTTATTTGCCACACTAGTTGGTTGAAGCCCTCATTATTATTCTGATTGAATTTACCTACACATCTTGAAAGTAAATTATCATTGCTGACATCGTCGTAAATCGGTTTAGTAGCTTTTAAAACATCAGGAAATAAGAGAGATATAATCTTGAGTATGAGTATCAGGCTTCAGCGTGCTTGTATGAGTCGGATCAATTTAAAATTTTCAGAGAATATTTTCAAGATATTACACTTAACGAAAATGCAAAAAACAAAAATTGATTTCTTAAAAATTATAAGTACCCCTAACCCCTCAAAAGAAGCCAATAAAGTTGTGCACTCAAAACTAAATGAAAATGGCTTCTAGAAGAGGTGTTAATGGTGTTTAATTGAACAAAAAGTGCATTACCCAGTCTCTTTTTGATGTTTTTTTCCTTTTCTTTTTTTATACATTACCTAAGGTTTTAAGCTGAGACTGCTCGAAATAATTATCTATAGATCTCGAAAAAATTATTATGAAAGATTGATATTGCACTGTGAAAATGCAATGGAAAATCTTACAAAACTGTGCTTCCGTAATTTGATTCGAGTTGACTGCAAAATATATTAATTTAAACTAGTTATGTGTATGAACAAATTATATCAGATACACTCTGATCAACTCGGATATCGTATCATACGGATAACACTGTAAATTGATTTGATTCATGTACTAGCAATATCATCATTGATTGTTTTTCACTTTAAGTTGGTACTACAATAAATCATAAGAAATATTTTTGCTTTTAGATTTGATCCTATAATCAAAATATTTCGTAAATAATTGTTTATTTTAACATTTGCTATAAAAACAGAACAAACCAACTTGGTTATTATATTATATTAAACCATTTTAGTATATGTGATGAAGAATAAATATTTGTGCAATGTGTGAATAAATAAATAGAATAGGTGTGAATAGAAATAGAATAAATGTTGTGTGAATAAATAAATATGTGTGTAAATGTAGCTAAATGTGTGCTAAATGTATATAAATACGTATTAGGAGTTGTGATTAAAAATGATAAAGATGTGTAATGCACAATTTGTTATATGCAAAATTGAAGTTTGACTTTCGTCTTTGATCTAATTCTGTTCGGATGTTCAGCATTAAACAGAGTTGTTCGAATCAAAGTTTTATTTTCTTGGTCAAATATTAGCATACATGGTACAAAGATCAGCCAGAAATATTTCATAAAAACTTTATTTTTAAGATTGTGAATATAATTTTAATCGTAATCATATACGATTGTACAGTTATGTATATGTACGTTTATTCAAATATACAGAGAATAAATCACATACATAAGTATACATTGATTTATACATACGTTTTATATATATATATATATATATATATATATATATAATGCGTAAAGTAAACCAATCAGGTACCCTGGATTCAGAGAAGAATTAAGAAAAGATTTAAAATTAGTAATGCTTATCTTTGAAGTTTTCGTTAGAGGAAAGTATAGTTAGAGCAAGTACATTTTATGGTTTAAAATTAGATAAGAGATCACAGAGAGAGGAGAAGAAAACTAGTAGAAAGAAATGTGATAGTAAATTACACTTAAATTTGCTAATAGACGAAGGAATAGACATAGTTAAGTTTAAATAGGAAAATTATATTTATATATACACATACATATATATACATATATATGCATATATATATACACATATACGTTGTTAATCAGGTACCCGTTGTGTATATATGTTATCAGGTCATTTGGTATCACAATTCAACATCATCAGTTTCTCATTGTTCTACTTAATAAAACTAATAAAATCCATGGCTTGGTAAATCCGCTAATTGTTAGAACATCTCATATAAATAATTCGTATTAGAAATAAAATAAATAAATAAATTAATGGTTAATATAAACAAATTCGTATGTGGACTATTGTGGCTTTTGGCCGGCGTAGGCTTGATTCTGTGCATCGGCCACTGGCATTCCGCTGTCTACGATGTAATCGGGGAAAGCGCGTCCCCAGCCGGAACTGTAGCTGTCGTGTCCGTGACCGACGTGGCTTACGGTCTCATGATGCGAGTGGTGTGGGTGCGCTACGACTTCGTATGTGACATGTTTCTCGGTGGAGAACAGTTTCTTCAAACCGATGACGGCGGCCAAGAGCAAGGCCATTTTGGAAACCAATAAAGCTTTTCCTACGAGCAGGGCGAGTCCTTTGAATGCGAGACCTTTCAGGAGACCGATTTTCATGGCAGCGGCGGCGATCAAGGGTCCGTAGTTAGTTTTCTTGCCACGACCAGTTGCTGCGCCTTCGTTTTTGATGTTCAAGCCAATGTTCAAGGAACCGTTGTCAGTGCTGGATACAACGAGGTCGGTATCTTCCATGATGTTCCAGTTCAAGGAGCGGCTTCGGACAAAGTTCCACATTTTTGTGGCCAACAGAGCACCGAGTTGTGATTCATCTGAGCTATAACTGCGGGCCAAAAGGTCGGGCTCATTTTGTGATTCCTCAGTGATTTCTCTGTAAAGATTAAAATATTATTCAAAATTAATCAATGTATCAAAGAATTGTTAATGAATCAATAGTTTATATACGTAGTATGTACGGATGCACTATATAATCAATATAGAGCGTATACATTTTAAGTGTCTGACATGAAATTAATACTCGTTTACAGGAATGCACAGAATGCGTTCAAAATACGCTTTGAAGTTAAGTAAGGCAAACGGAATAAATGCCGTTAGTTTCATAAATGTTAATTGTTGAATAAAATCTAGATTGAAATGAATAATATCCTGCTATGTATGTGAATATCAAATTTTTTGAATTCACAAGTTTTGTGTGAACTTTTTATTATTACCTATAGCGAGCGATCTCAATGCCATCGTCAATTTGGATGGAAGCTTTTTTCAGCATGCGATTCATGTAGGTTACAATTTTCAGCATCATGCACGAGTGTCCATCGCGTTGAGCGCATTTTGCGTTCATTTTTCTAAGCAACGCCTCTTCAATTTGAGATTTCTCTGAGGGATGCACCTGCAACGAAAAAATAATATATCAGGAATGCATAACTAATCGTAATAAAATCATATCACTAATGCGTATTTGTCACAAACATCATTGATTTATTATAATATCTTATTTGTCATGACATAATATATTATTTAATTTTATTGTATTTTTTTATTGTTTTTGTTCACAATATTTTGATACTTATTCTTCATTTTTTATTACTAAAGATCACTCTGACAAACAATGAGTAAGTTACCAATTATTAGTATTAACTTCTCTTTTTAATTGCCAACGAGTGAGTAGTGTGATGCGACGAATGAATATCTTAGTAAACACTGTTCATAAATTTCAGTAATTCTGGGTTAAAAAAATTAATTTCATTTTCTTAAATGTTTAATTTAAAAACTAAAATAATATATACAGATTTAAAAGTGTCTTATTAGATAAACGGATGCGTTTAAAAATCATCAATGTAAATTTTGTCCCACTATTGTATAATTACATAGAATAGATGATAAAAATTTAATTATCTACTTTCAATGTATGTCTGGGAATGAGTCTGCCCTGGTTCTGTAAATAACATTGAACAATACTGCATTATGTTGTACTAACAATTATTCTAATTTGTGAGAGATTGTTTGGCTAAAATATACAATAATATGATGATGTTTTGTATTTAATTGGATTGGAATCCGGAGAATCACGTATAGTAAAGTTTTGCTTTTAATATTTATGATTAAATGTTTCCAAATTTATTAGAGGAAAATTCTTGGTAAAATTGGAAAAATTTCTTCGGTAAATGGAATTCCTGTTAATGGATTTTAATATTTATATCTGTTGGTTTGTTTCTGTATTTTTTGCTCGAATTTAAATAATTTATAATATGATTCGAAAGGCATGATATATTAATCTCGAAGTCTTAGGCGGATTTGCTTTTGTTAGAGAGATTATTTGCTCTATTATTGTAATTACAATGTCTATCGAAATCGTTTCTGCATGACTGTTCATATATTGATTGGTTCTTAATGAACAAATTATATTAATCATAGGAAATGTGTAGAAAGTGCTGGGTAATAATCATAAACATATCGAGCTCTTGTAATTAGGCTTGATGAATATTTTAGAACACATCCTGGAGATAATTTCGCGTCTTGTACTATATATTTTCTAGACCAATTACAAATTAAAATCGAAGCGAGTAATAAACTGACAATCTTGTTTGATCCAACAATTAACTATTTTTTGTTCCTGTTTTAATGTTTTAAAATGAAATTTTTGATTATGCCGAATTATTGGTCAATGGGTGGGTCAATATGGTTATTAAAATATCAACTTTATTAAAATTTTGGGTAATGCGTTGGGAGAACCGCTATGGCGTTGAGTCATTTCGTCGGGACCAGTTCGCCAGCTCTTTTACTAGAAGCGCAATCTTTTATAACTGTGCACGCCGGAACCAGCATGCGTGCTAGATGGACCTTGATAAAGAACTTGATTCCTGCCTTGTACCTTCGTATTTAGATCGGTAGGTCGCGAGCCGTACGATTATTATTGACAATCATTTTACCATTTGGGTTATCTGCACTGGGCAGCACTTATGTATTTTATAACCTCAGCGATTTGCGACAATGACGCTTAACACAAACAGTTTACAATGCTCAACTATTTCTAAATTATTAAATCACAAATCATGAGCATTGATTTTTAAGAAAACAGAGATAATTGTAGTTAATCTCCTTACGATCAAAAATGAGCTAGTCTTTGTTAGTCTCTTTAAGATTTTGAACATTTTACAGAGTCTTTAACATAATATTTAATGGAAATATTGCCAAATACATAATTTTGATTTGTGAAATTTTAATTCAATATTTCCAAAATAAACTTCCATAGATTTTTATCACTGAATTAGTTTTATTTTTAATAAACTTGTTAAGAGAAAATCAAAACGAATATTGGGCGCAATGACACGTAATATTTTACGTATAATATTTTATCTAGAAATAATATTTTGAAATAAACTTTTTTTAGGTGTTTTTTTAACAGTATTATACATATTATGTTTGGCTACGCGTGCAATTAATGTTTGTAAAATTGTCCTTACAAACAGATTGGGATACAAGCGATTTAAATCTATACAAAGAATATCACTAATTTCATTTAAATCTTAAGTAAATATATTGATTAATGATAAAAAGAAATAAATATTATAAATTATTACGATTAAATGATTTTTTTAATGTTACCAGTTACTTTACGTGAATTGATTATTTGAAGTATGTATTATGAAATTAAAGAAAAAATTGTGCTTTTACAAGTGAATTTATAGATTAATAAAAAAAAGAAATGTGTATTATAAATAATTACGATCAAATGTTTGTTAATGTTATCAGTTATTTACGTGTATTGAATTATTTATTATGTTATTGAAGTATTATGAAATTTGAAAAAAAATTACAATAAGTACAAATTTGATTGAGTTAAAAGTTTAAGTTGTTAAAAATGAAAGTTATATTATTAAATTATTATTGTTGAGTGATATTATCAATTGTGAAAACTCACCCTATTGTCTAAGGTTTCAGCTCCGGCAGGGTTGCCATAACTCTCGGCGAAGACAGCCAGAACCACGATCACAAAAAGTACGAAGGTTTTCATGTTTGCAGTTAATATAGCTTATTTAACATAAACACCAACAATTCACAAATAACAAAGCACAATGCACTTGTAGCACGAACTGATATGATGGCTTATTATATTTCTGGTGTCCAGATACACCTTGATTGAAACGGTTGACGATTGAATGATACTTGTATTTTCACGGTTTGTGAATTTATACTTTGCGAACGGATTATCTAGGGTGTCCGAATCCGTCTAGGGAGGGAACACGGAGGAAAGGTATTTACTCCCGATGGCATATTCTTCAGTATAGCCGGTCTGTTCTTGAGCATGCCGGAAGGCTCGTGTCTGCTTCTCTTTTGCGGTCAGCTACCAAAGCTCGTCCGACCTGTTTGTAACTGTGTTAGTTAGCCATATGAGTTTCACACATGATCTTTCAGTATGTGTGCAAACGATGAATTTGGTGTTTTCTCGATGTGATCCGTTTCCGAGTTTTGGCATCCACGACGAAATCCGGTTGTTCTTTACGTACCGGCAACAAAAATTTCACCAGTCGTACTTATCTTTGCTTTTCTTGCGCGTTATTTTTGATTACATGCACGCATACCTCTAAGATTATCCGCACTCCAATCAAAGTTTCTTGGTTCTTCTTTCTAAGTAAACACTTGTTGCAAACAAACAAACAAATTTTTGTTGTAATTTTTTATTTATTACCAAAATAAGCAAATACAATTTTATTCTCAAAATTTTGAATTACTTGTCGAACAGTTATAAAATTCCAAATAAAAAAACAAATAAAATGTTACGTGTTATTTTCATAAGAAACTTTGGTTGAAGTGCGGACTGTCTTAAAGTTAATATTAAGAGCTTAAATTTTCAGAGATTTTTTTTTTATCTTTTTGGAAACATTTGAGCCCAAAAAGCAAAAATTTTGAAAATAACCATATTAAGGACCGCCAAATAATTTTTTTTAAAAAAATTGTTACAAAAAACTACTAAATATTTTCTTAACTTTTTTTATTTGAAAATACAAACCTTCCGGTTTACAATGGAAAATAATTTCGTTCCAATGGCTCCTACGGTTGGTTATTGAAGAAAAGTGATAGTAAAAGTTAGATGGTGATTTTTCTAAATAGCATTTGTCAAAATTTTCTTACAGATCATATTTCTAATGTCTACAGTATACACATTTAGTATTTTCCATAATTTTTGTAGAGATTATTTGTAAAGTCTACAATGCACACTTTTCTTAAAACTTACTTTTTAGTCTTTAAATTTTTTTTAAATTTTGAAATGGTTTGCTATTGACTATTTAAGAAGTGAACAATACTTACTATCAATTAATCAATGAATTCACGTTGTTATTAAAAAATAGAAAGTCGTATAATTATGTACGGAAAGATAATTTTTCATACAAAAAGTAATGCTGGAAACAGAAAATGAATGGGATTCCGTAAATGCTAGTTGATATTTATCAACGTATAATAATACACTCAAAATGCTGAAAAAACAAAATGTTTATATGTAATATTTTTAAAATATCTAATGAGAGTTTTAGGAAGAAAAGCATATGCATTTTTTTAAAAAAATACATTAATATTTAGAGAAGATGATGTCTTACCATTGGATTTTTGGACCAAGCATAGTAGATCATAGTAATAGTCAGTCTTATAACTAGAGATAGTTTAATATTATTATTTGAAGAATCAGACTTGCTATTCTAATATTTGAAATTATAGTGAGTAAATTCTCAACAGTAAACAAAACATTTATTCAGTAATTTGTGGTTTCAGACAAAATCGTAGTACTATTATGTAAGTATTCATACTTGTAATATAATGATGTAGCAAGTTTCAATGATAAGCATATTGGTGAGTTAATTTTAGAGACGGAAAAAACATGCCATTCTGGTTATTACTAAATTTTGGTATAAGATCTAAATTAATAAAGTTATGTAATTTTTTCTTCATTTATACATACCCAATTTGCTAGGGTAGACACAATAGGATATCTACTAAGAGTATGGTTTCTACTAAGGGGAATTTCCGATTTTTTAATTTTATGTGTTCTCGACGTTTCAAGTCAATCTGAACCGTTTAAAACTTTGGAAAAATTATATGTTTTTATGTGAACTGATTCCAACAATTTAAAAGCTATTCAATGAAACTCGATAAGGATTTGCGTTGATTAGTTTTTCGCGACGATCAGCCGAGATGTTTTTTTACAATTACCAGATAAGTGTAAAGTTTTTCGTCCACGTTTTAGCCAAAATTCCTGAAGCATTGTTCAAAATTCAAAAACTGTTCGAGAGATATTATTTGGGAATTGTGCTGATTAGTTCTTACAAGTCTTTCTTCATTCTTTAAAAAAATTGTTTGAGGTTTTTAAGGAAACTTAACTTGGCGATATGATTCATTGTCCTAACTAATATTCTAAAGTATTATAGTCGTACGAAAGGTAGTTGAATTATAAAAATGTAGTAAAATTTTGTAGCAAATCAAATAATGAGCTGTGCTTTTGATACATACGAGCGCGGGTCCATACTATATTATTATTGAGATTGATATATATATATATATATATATATATATATATATATATCATATTAATTAGTTTTTAATGAGAAATTCATTTTATTTAAAAACTATCTATATAAATAGATACAATTAGATAAATGTAACTTCTTATAAATTAATTCAATTATTTACACGTATCGGGAAGTTCACGGAACTTTCGTCATTGCAAAGTGCTACGTATACCTGCTGAATAATAAGAGTGCAAGTAATTATATATTACATTTTTTTGTTTTATTTTAGCTCAAGCGATATAAATTGATAGCGGATAGATATAACAACTAGAATAGAACAAGAAGAGTTTTCAATTTGACTTTTTTTTAGTGTTAATCATGAATTAATTGAACATAATTATTAATTATGTGTACAAATAATATTGAAGATACGGTCATTGAGTCTTCGTACCTATTGATAAACAGAAAATCGAAACTGATCGCAAAAAATGAACTACTTTTATTATATAATGTAATAGCGAGACCAGTTATGTATGACTCTAGCACCGCATAATATAAAGAGTACTAGTTGTAATAGTAAGAAAATATCGCCGAACGAATAATTGTCAATACTTACGGGGTTATTTATGAAATTGATTGAAGACATAAATATATATTCTACAATATGCGTTTTATGAATTTGAATTTTAATCATTCAGAAATTTGACCCCAACTGAACGCGTGAAATCTTACGCCGTTAACAATGAATAATGATATGAATATTTTACTAAAATACTATAAAATTGCCTAACAATAAGTCCAAGATCAAGATCACGGCTAATATCGCGACCTGACATTTAAAAATCCGGGTTTCAAATTTCTCACTTCAGAATACGAGGAGAAATTATATTTAAAATAATTTAAGGGAGTTTTCTGGTCTAGAGGCATTTTATACGAATATTGAAAGGCCGTAAAATAAAAGGCAAACAATATTTTTCACAATTTATTAATTCATGTTTAAGAATTAAGAAAAAACTAGTTGGTAGTTGGTATTATGTCTTGGGGCAAGTTACGTGAACTTCTCATATGTGTAAATAATCGACTTAATCATTAAAAAATAAATTAATTTATGATTGATTAAAAATATTCCGAGTGGATTTATTGCACATAATTGAAAACGAACGAATACGTTAATTCGGAGTATTTTCTAAAAGCAAATTTTCAAATATCAATAATTTTTATATATTATAATTGAACTAGTTTCCGTAGGACTTTGATGGTTTAGTATGTTCATTAAGACCAAGTACTCTGTTGTCATACCAAGTAAATCATATAATTTTAATTTTAACAAACATCAAAAAAACTACTCATTTTCTCAAGCTTTGACGATTTTTTAAAATCAAACTACTTGTCGTAAGGCTGTAATATTTTAATAAGTTGTATAAGACCACTCAATTTTAGTTTTCAACAACGAATTACAAGAAAACGGCTCGGTAGATTTTCATCTAAAACTAATCAGAATCATTCCCAACTAATATCTCTCGAACAGTTTTTGATTTTTTAAAATCGATTCGGTAGTATGAGCTTAAATGTGTACGAAGAGTTTAACACTTTTTCCCAAATTACAAAAAAACGGCTCGGCCGATCGCTGCATAAAACTGAGAATGATAATCCACATCAAAATCTTCGATTGGTTTTTAAATTTTTGAAATTGGTTTAGGCGTTTTTGAGCAAACTTAGATGAAAGTTCTAATTTTGACAAACACCAAAAAAACGATACTAATTTATCAAACTTTGAAGGATTTAAAAAATTAAACGACTTGTCGTAGGGCCGTATTATTTTAGTATGATCTATAAGACTGTGGTATCTACTGTCAAAAAAAAAATCATAAAAATCGTCGATAAAAATTTATCACAAGAAAACGGCCCGACCGATCTTTATCAAAAGCTAATCAGCACGATTCCCAACCAATATCTTTCGAACAGTTTTTGAATTTTCAAAATCCATTCAGAATTGCGGGCTAAAACGTGGACGAAAAATTTTTCACTTTTGTGCGTTTTACAAAGAAACGGTTCGGCCGAACGTAGCGCAAAACTGAGAAACGATAGTCCTTATCGAGATACATCGAATGGCTTTCAAATTTTTGAAATTGGTCTAGCCGTTTGTTAAAAAACGTCAATTTACGACAAAAAATTGTTCACACACACACACACGCACTTACACACATACACACATACTTTTTCCAAATTTGGTCTCATTCGATTCAGAATGGCTTGAAACGTCGAGAAAACATACAATTAGCGAATCGGATTTTTTGATGAAAACATAACCTTCTCCTTCGGGAAGTTAAAAATAGTCAAAAACTTTTAATTCTACAAAGTAATAAAGTGGGAGAACTCAAAAAATTGGCACCTGACCATGCCTATGATTTAAGCCCTCTAAATAATTTGAAGAATGAATATATATATATATATATATATATATGTATATATATATATATATATATATATAATCGAGTAAATTGCATTTAAA